CAGCCTGTGGGGAGCGCCGAGAGTCTCTCCGAGACCCTCCGCGTGGCGGCCGATCCTTTGAGGGCAACGACGGCGGCGTGCCAGGGGCAACGCTGCGCGCCACCCGAATCAAGCCAACCACGCGTGCCACGCCCACCCAAGAGGGCGGCCGAGGGTGGTGCTCTCCACCACAGTTGGAGCTGCGGAGTCATCGGCGCGGCCAACGCTGCGGCGTGCCGTATCAACGCTGCGCGCCAGCCGCTCGGATCCAGCACTGCACACGGCAGAAGCCGCCACGTGCTTCTCCAACCTGTCTGTGGACCAGGCGGCTGAGCGGCCGAGCGCTGAGGCGATGAGGCTGAGACCACGCGACCAAGCGGCATGCCGAGGTCCGAGACAATGCGCGCGCCACGTCCCTGATCTTGCACCAAAGGCCGATCAATAACATTGGCGGGAGAGAGGAAGCCGGTCGTGTCCGCTGCATCGAGCGGCGTGAGCGATCGAGCCGTCTCGTGTCGCCGAGCGGGCCCGGTCGCGCCTCTGGCACTGCTCGCAGCGGCGGCGACGGACGCGACAGCAGCACAGGGCAGCACAACAGCACAGAAGCGACTGAGGGTAGCATACCGGCTCCCGCGCAAGCGTGCGCGTTTGAAGTAAAAGCCAATCCCGTTTGCAGCCGTGGGGCGGAGTGGATTCGAGAGGGTTTTTCGTAGCGCCCGCCGGAGGAAGCTGCGATGCGCGAGCCCAACGATACCAGCATGTTGCATGTCAAGAAGTGCGCGAACGTGCCCACGCGAGAGGGCTACAAGGTGCACGGCTGGGAGATAGGGCTCCCAGACTGGTTTTCTTTTTTCTCTGAAGTGACGGACGGTTCGAAGTGACGGCTTCCAAGTGACGGCCTCTGGAAACTTCCAAGCAGCAGTCACTTCGAAGTGACGGCCCGTCGACGTGGCATCTGACGACCGCCCTTGGCGACGGGCCAAAAGTGACGGCTTATGGCGGCCTCAATCTGTGCGACCTGGCAGGTTCCTGAGGTGCACGTGTTTCACGGGGCAAGTTGCACGGGTAAGACGTTTCGCGCAGATCAAATGACCGGCAGCGACGTGTACAAGTGTACTGGTAGTCGGACATGCCTGCGCCGCTACAGCGGGCAGGCAGACGTCTTTCTCGATGATTACTGCGGCGAATTGCCTGTCCATCTGCTCCTCGTCCTGCTGGATGGAAGGGATGCATATTCCCAATGCCGACGAGTTGTGATCACCTCAAACGCTCCTCCCGAGAGGTGGTATCCAGACCTCGAGGACAGCACAAAGAGAGCTATTCTGCGCCGCTTGGGCCGTCTAGCCAGTGACCAATCGCTCGGGTACACCCACATCACAACCACGCACACGTGACGCCTCTCATTACGGCTCTGTACCAACCGCGGTCCAGTTGAGTTGGTTGCGTCGCTCAGAGCCGTACTGGTGTGAGCCGTGACTGGTGTATGAAGCGCACGCTGAGGCCGAAATAGACCGTGTAAGGAAGTGAAAATGGTACGCGCAAAGAATGTGAACCTTGATAGAAAATGTAATTTGATGATGCATACAGCAGCAAACATGACACAACCTCGAGAGCAGTCTCTGTCATGGGGCCCGCCTACTCCAATACGCAATGCAGAACGCTACACTTCTACTGCAAAACAATGACTTGCGAGGCAGCCCGAGCGCGAGCGGTCGCCATCTCGGCCTGTGCGCGCGTCTGCAGTGACTTGAAGCGTGCAATGATGGCCCAGATCGAGTTGTCCAGGACGCTGCGCGGCACGCTCTCCTTCAGGATGTCGGCCGCGAGGATCTCCAGCCAGCGCACCTCCTTCAGGACCAGCTCGCGCTCCTTGTCACGCGCTTGGAACAACTTGTGTTGCGCCTCGCGGATACCCTTCTTTTCGTTCTCGACCCGCCGCAGCTTCTCCTTGACGGTCCCGAGCTCGACTGCAATGCCGTTCTTCTCCCTCAGCAGACTGCCCTCGTACACGCTCATCGCGCCGATCTGCGCCTCGAGACCCGCAACCTTGCCCGCCGCCACCTGGTGCATGCCAGTCTCGAGAGAAAGTGACGACTCCAAGTCGGCGATGGTGGCGGCCTGCTCAGCGATCTTGGTCTTGGCCGCCTCGAAGTCCTGCGAACGATGGGAGCAGCTGTGAGGCGCGAGCTCTCACAGTGACGACAATCAGCTACGGCAACTAGGGCAGACCTCCGCTGGAAAGAGCGTGCGAGCCGCCTTGCGCGGCTCGGGCTGGCCGTCACCGTTGCTGGAATCGCTCGCGGCTGTCGGTACCGGTCGCTTCTTTGACTCAACCGGCGGAGTCTTGACGTCAACGGTGGTCTGTGGCGCGGGTGCCGACCCGACGCAGGGCTTGACAGTTGCGACGACCGCTACGGGCTCACCGGCGAGCGACGGGCGAGCCGTGGAGCTCACGTGAGAGCCAGCGCCGGTGGGGTCAACGCCCGCCACCACCATAGGCGGCTTTGAGTCACCGGGCTGCGTCATCACGCGCTGCGGTTCACCCACGAGGACCGTCGATGCGAAACTTCCCGGCCCTCCAAGTGACTGTTTTTGGCCCGAAGTGACGGCAAAGTGACGGTTTTCGCGGCAAGTGGCGGATTGCGCACGACACACCGCTATAATCCAGGCGTGGGCGGACGCCACTCTCCCTCGTCGCGGGGCCACCAGGAGTCTACCTGCAGTGTAGAAGGCGAAAGAATTTCTTCAAGAAGAAACAAAGGAAAGAGGGATCACTCCTGCGCAAAGCCTTCTCTCCCTCTCTCCGCCCCCCGGGGCGCCTCGCTTGACGACCGCCGTTGCCGCGAAGCTTGACACAGACACAAACAATGGGACGCGTCTTCTCGTTTGTTGCCGCGGTGTTGCTTCTCGGCTGCGCCTCCGGCGCCAAGAGACTGGCGGAAGGAGACGCTGGCCGGTCGCGTTCGCTCTCTCCCTCAGCTCGCCGGCTGGTCGATACGAGCGACGACTACGAGTCGCCGCCATCGCCGCCAGATTTGTCCGACGAGTCTCCGCCGTCGCCACCCGATCAAGGCGATCAAGACAGCGATCAAGGAGACAACGATCAAGGCGACAGCGATGGCGACAATGGCGGCGCGGACGACGATGGCGATGGCGACGACGACGACGACCTTGATGAACAGGACAAGGCGTCCGAGTCTCCCGATCACAGAGCCCGTGCCCACATACCGTCCCCGCTCACCTTCCCGCGGTTGGTTCCAGGTCGTGGTCGAACTCGACGTGGCGATCAAACACCTCGACGACTCTCCTCTGTTCAAGATCTCGCAGAAGCAGGTCGACGCGGCGCTCGATGACGACGACTCCTCCACCGACAGCCCCGACGACACCACCGACAGCCCCGACAGCCCCGACAGCCCCGACGACGGCGACGACGGCGATGGCAGCAACGACGACGACGACGAGCGGCGGGCCGGAGCCGAAGCGCTGCGCGAGTTCGTGATAGTGGCAAAGCACTACCGCGATGTGGCGGAGGCGCCGGCACGGATGCTCTCCATCGTCGTCCCGAAGGGCGGCTGCCGCAACTGTGTGGGCGGGTGGACCCTCTTCGTCACCGCGAAGGACACCAAGCGGATTCTGCCGCCGGCTGAGGTGCGCGCGCCCGCGGCCTATGCCGCGGGCAGCGGTCTCCGCGGTAGCCGTCTCCTGCCCGAGGGGGGAAGGCGCTACTATCGAACATGTCGCCACGGGGGGCGCATCCTCACCACCGCATCCCCCCCTCTCGGCACGCGCCCCGGCACAGGCGAATGCTCTGCTGCGCCGCGGGGGACGCCCCGCCCGCGGCCGCGAGTTGCACGCCGTGCGCGCGGTCAGGGCGGAGGAGAAAAAGGTGCTTGTTCCTATTGCACACCCGAGCGCGTTCGCGCGCCTTGACCACACTCCTCGAGAGTCTTCTGCCGACGCACGCCACGCACGCATCCAACCATGCCTGCAGGCGAGAATGACAAGCATCGCTGGCCTCGCCGTTGGCGTCGGCGGCGTTGCCTTCATCGCTTACTTTCTCTGGACGGTTCTCGGTGGGCAGGAGGAGAGGGTGGGGCGGGCGCGCCTTCCCTGATCAACGGGGCTGCTGTCCTGACGGACGGAGTGCCCCTCGGGCCTCGCGCGCCCCTTGGCGCCGCCCTGCTGACTGGGGAGTCGTTTTTGGGGGTGTGGCCGAGGGATGCGATCGCGTGCCGATGCTCGAGTGCCGGTGTTGTTTGTGCGTCTTGGTGCGTCTGTGGGCGTGTCTCGGCCCGCTGGTGTACGTGCGGCACCGATGATCCGTGTGCGGTGTGGCGAAGAAGGAAAGGAGGAGGCGTCCGCCGCGAGAGAGAGAATTCTTGATACGAAACCACGACGACACACACCAGTCGACTCGCATCGGTTGCCTCCATGAACGGCGGAGCTATTCTCGCGCCCACACCACACGCACACCTGGCTCCAACGTGGACACGCCCATAGCTGGGGACACTACTAGGTCACGCATGGCATCACAGAAGTTTTATCTCTGGGCCCCGAAAGGCATCTCTAGCAGTGTCGTTACACATGCCCCCTCCCCTCCTGGGCGCATGCGCCTCACGTCTCGCCAGAGCATAAGCCCTTGGCGTGTGGCGAGACGAGTTTTTCGCCATCGCAGCGAGCAGCAACCCGCCCGCCGCAAACAGCCGGAGGCCTCGCCGCGGCACTGGCTGCGCCGCGGTCCCGCACCCGTCGACGCAGCTCCCCCCGCGCGGTACCGCGCGTCTCTCTCTCTCTCTCTCTCGCGTCCGCCGCGACTCTCTCTCCTCTCTCTCCGCCGCGCGCCTTTTGGGTTTGCATGTGCAGTCTCTTTCCCACGAGCGGGTGGACGCAGAGAAACTCACAACCGACACTCTGCGGTCGGTTCTCCGGCAAGCAATCGAGACCTTCCCATTGCCCCACCCGCCCAAAAGCGGGGACCCTGTGATAGCCGTTGATGACGGAGAGGGACGAGCAGTTTGCCGAGTCGTCCACCTTGAGCATGTTTCGCACGCTGCTCAAGCTCGCTCTCTTCTGCGCGCACCCGCTCGCGGCGCTCGGCTTCACTCCCCCGACCGACCAGGCCTTCGCCGTCTTTGGCAACGACGCAACAAAGGCTCTCATCAAGCAGTGGAGCCCGCGGCCGATGAGAGTGGAGACAGGCAGCGTGATGCTGCCGGCGTCGACGGAGAACATGCAGGCGCGTGTTTTGTTTGCCCGCGGCGTTGCTCAGAATATACGCCGCCCACGCGCCCTCCGACTGCTCCCGCCCTTCTTTTCGGCTCCGCCTCTCGCTCCCCCTCGCTCCCGTCCAGCGCCCGCCCCGTCCCCGGACTGAGAGTGCCCCTACCGGCGGCCGCAGCGATTCGTGCGGGCGCGCATTCTGCTCGAGGACCCGTCCGTCGGCTGCGTCGCTTCGGCTCCGGGCAGCGACGGTGTGACGACTTCTTCTCCCAAAGGCACACGGCGGCGACAAGACCGAAACCTCCTTGCTCCTTGCTAGGCATCTCGCTGATTCTCTGCAGATTCACCGGCGCGGAGCATCAAGGCGCCGCCGCCCCGCCCCTCGGGAGGCCCACCCGGCCCGCCCGCCACTCATGTGGGCGCAACCGTCGAACGTTCCCCCCCACCCCTCCTCTCATCCCCCCCCTCCCCCCCCCCGGGCGCGCAGTGATCCTACCGCTGTGGCAGCCGGGATCCGACGCGGGGAGCACGTTCCGGTCGCTCGCGAGCTGGCGCCGCCGCCGCCGCGTCACGCCCGCCCGGCTCAAGTTGCCGAGAGCCCGCACCCTTTCCCCCCATTAGGCATCGCGAGCGCCTCTCGCACAAGCTGCTGTCTGGCGCGCGCGCACAGCCCTCGCAACAACTGATCCAACACCCGCCGCGCAAACCTGCTCCCCCCCCTCCCCCCCCCCTTCCCACCCACCCACCACCACCACCACCCGCCCGCCCGCCCCCGAGCGCGAGACCCGCGTGCGCACCCGCCCGCGTGCCGACCGATGCGGTGGCAGTTTGGCGGGACCAAACACGACAGTTTCTGCGGCTGCCAGCTTCCTTGCCCGCATTCCCAGTCCCCTCATCGCGCACCCGTACAGTCGCAACCGGGTGGCGCGCTCACCGCTCCACGCCCCGCCCCGCAGGCGCGCACATCGAGCGCCCGGAGGATCGCGCAGCGTGGGCACCCCTTATTGTGGGCGCGCCTGTCGTCCGGAAGGGGAGTTGCCGTGACCTGCAGGCGGTCCTGCGCCTTAGGCCAGCAGCGACCACCAGCCGTGAGGGCGGCAGGCACGGCCGTGCGAGGCGCGCTCGCGTGCTCCCGCGTCGCGGCGCGGCGCGTCACTCTCGCAGGGGTCCTCACCGATGTCTCCGCACGCACGCAGGGGCCGCGGGAGCCCAGACGTTGACTCGACGGTGTAGCCGCTGAGCCCCCTCGACCTGTCGACTTTTTGATTGCATGAATGTGGGCGGTGTACTCTTGTGGGGAGGTCGTACTTTGCCCAGGACGGGCGCGCAGCGGAGGCGGCAGGAGCAGCCGGGGGTCGGGAGAGATCACGCATGTGAGAGGAGCGGCGCGGTGTGGCTTTGCGTCGGCCGGCGCACAACCGTACGGTCGTGAGGTCAGTGCGGGAGCCGCAGCGGAAAGGAGGTCTGTCACGGGGGGGGCGTGGCGTGTAGAGTGGGGCACTTTCCATGGACTAACCTATCTTACTCAGAAATTTGGGCTTGGGAGTGCACTATCTCGTCTCTCCACTCTAAATTGTAAATAAATAAACAAAGAACTAGACAAATGAGAGAGCACGCAGACGATCGCGCGCCAGGCAGCGACGAAGACGACGACGACGACGACGACGACGACGACGGCAGCGAGCCGCCCAAGCAGCGACCAGCAGACCAGGCCGCCCTCGCCGCCGCCCTCGCCGAGATTGCTCCCGCCCAACACCTCAGCTTTCTTCCCGACAGCGGAACGCCCGCCGCTCAAGCCGCCGCCCTCCGGTGGGATGCCTCCAGCCCCCGCCGGCCCCCCAATGCCGCCCACGCCGCCCCCCTTCCCCCCGCCCGCCGACGCCGCCACGCTCGCCGCCCTCGCCGCCGTGGCCGACACCGTCACCGCCGCCGCCGCCGCGAAACCAATGAAGGAAAGTTCAAGTGCCTCGTTTGCGAATTCGACTTTGGGAATAACAAGAGCTCGGCGGCCCAACTTCTTCGACACTTTACGAATGAGCACCCCAATGCGACCGACGCCGAATTGGCCTCCTCGGCGCTCACCAAGTGCGTGGCGTGCGACAAACTTGCGTGCGTCATCGTCACGGGAGGCAACCACAACGGAGCAACCTCTTCAATCACTACGTCAGCAACAAGAACCAGCCTCAACACCTACAACGCGCGGGCGCCGGACACACCCCGACCGCCGACTGCAACGCCGCCGCCGCTTGGGTCCGTGAGCACGCCCCTCCCCGGTCCCCCGTCTCGTACGTCACCCACGCCGTCGGCACCAACTCCGCCGCCAGCCGGATCCAGCAGGCCCGCCACCCCGACGACGTCCCCGACGCCGCCCGCATACAGAGAGCAGCGGTCGCCGCGCTACACAACGCGTGCGGCAACCCCTCGGCCGCCATCGACCCTCCTCAAACTCAACACGACCCCGGCCGCCGACTTCAACCTTTGCTTCACCGACGGCATCTCGCTCGAGGCCTTCAAACGATTGCAACTGCATCACCAGGAGTTCCCTGCGAGTGAGGAGTACCGAGACCTGTGCCGGGCACCAATCCTCTTTGGCATGGAGGCGTTTGCCAGCACGCCGCGGAAGCCGGGCACCCTCGATGGTGCACGTGGAGCCTGCTACGCCGTCGTGTCCGCCGTGCTCATCACCTGCCGTCCCGTCGGCACGCAGAAGTACACGTACGACCAGATGGTGCAACGGGCCGCCTCCTGTGCTTCGTCCCCCGACGGTTTCATGGCTTTGTTTCGCGAGCTCGTCCTCTCCGCCTCCGCTCCCCCCGCACGGCCCGAACAAGAGGGAGACCGGCCCGTCTCCGACCCCAACCGCGACACGTGTGTCGCAGGCGTAGGCAGCGCTGGCGAAGCGAGGCGGTCGGCGCCGGCCCCCGGAGGCGGTTGCAGCGAGAGAAGCGAGGCAGAAGACACTGTTGGAAGGGTGAGGAGCAGCCTGCCGTCGAGCGGCACGCCGCGCAAGCCCGCTGCCGGCGACCCGATCGGAGAGCTCGTAGTCATGGTACTATTCAGCGCGCCATCGCGCCCGAGGCGGCCCGCCCTGGCCCTGTAGACCTTCCCAGAGAGCTTGGCGAGGCTGTACAGCATCCCAAGAGCATACTGGGCAGGCTCCCGTCGAGCGACGAGCCATGCTGGCTCGTCGCGGGCCGCGAGCTCGAAGACCCGCTCGGAGCTTCGCCGAGCCTCGCGGGCCGCCCGCACGCCCGCGGCCGCAGGCATGGAAGCGAGCTTCCTGGCGTCTCTAGCCAGCGCTCACATGCCAAAAGGCACCTCGCAGCGCGCGAGACGTGACCGGAGCGGTACGCCTCGGCGCCGCGAGAGCAGCCGGTCGGCGTGGGCACCAAGCGCGCGGCCGCCGGGCGCCTTCGCACCGACAGGGGCGCCGCGGCAGCAGAGAGCTCAACACCATACCGTTTTTATGGCGGGTGATTCATCAGAAAGAAAGAAAGAAAACAGACAGCCCAAGGGAGGGATGGGAGGACGGCACGCCGCCACCACACAGGGATTTTAAGGAGAGGTGTGTGATGCGCTAGCCGTCACCCACCCTTGGGCGTCCGCCTCTTCCTATCTCTCTTCGCAGTCTCTCGCCCCCCATCTCGTCTAATCTCGCCTCGCCTCGCCTCATCTCGCCTCATCTCGCCTCATCTCGCCTCATCTCGCCTCATCTCGCCTCATCTCACCTCATCTCGCCTCATTACGCCGCACGACGTGACCCGAGATCGACCCGAGATGGACCCGGGATCGAACCGAGATCGACCCGAGATCGACCCGAGATTGACCCGAGATTGACCCGAGATCGACCCGAGATCGACCCGAGATCGACCCGAGATCGACACGAGATTGACACGAGATCGGCCAGAGATCGACCCAACGAGGCCCCTCTGGGGGGGAGATTGACTCAACAAGGCCCCAAAGCCCCCTCTCTGGGGGACCCCTCCCCCCCCACCCCGAGTGTCCGTGTCCTTCGCGAGTCACCGATGGGGAGCGGGGGGGGGGGTGCGAAAAACGAACAGGGGAGGCTGGGGAGGGGGGGGTCCACTCTGAAGACAGCCGACCGCGGAGGGGTTTTGTCCCACAGGGTTTTACCCTCCGCGTGAGGATCGGCGCGGCGAGGGGGTAGGCTCGAATTCGCCGCGCAACATTTCACCCCCACAGGACCCCGCCCTCCCCCCCTCATTGGTCCCACCACCCAGAACCCCAACCTTGGCTTCGCACCCCCTCCTTGGCGCAGTGTCCCCCGCTATGTGTCGCCGTCTTCGGGGCACGCTATCCTGTGCAGTCAGGGCAAGTGGGGGCGAGGCGCAGTCCCTCTGGTCTATACTGGTGTGGTTCTGTCCCTAGTCTCGGAGGGGGGCTTGAAGGTAAGAATATTTTATTTCGCAGTCTCTCGCCGATTCTCGCTTCAACCTTCGTGCCACCTCGCGGTCGCCCCCTTCTCGTCGTTCTCTCCCTTGTCACTTCTTCCTCTGTCGCGTCGCTCTCTTCTGCCTCGTCCTGCGACGCCGCCGCCTGCCGGTCCCTTGTTCTCGCGGCTTCTTTCGCCTTTCGGCGCAACTCCGCCCTCCTCGCGGCATATCCTGGCCCCTCGAGTCTATCGAGCTCTCCTCGAGCAAGGACGACTCTGGACGAAGCCCGCTGCCCCTGTGCTGACCCAGGCGCGAAAAACGAATCTGCGAGGCGTGGCCGCTCATGCGGCCCGATGGGGAGGAGCGGGGCGAGCCCCCTCCAACCCACCCGCGCTAGGTCTCGGGGGACGAAGGGGTCACACCCGACGACCTCGGGAACTAGCCGGGGCAGTCGGAGAAGTGGCAACTCCGTGCGCTGACGGTCGGCCGTCAGAAAACACGCCTCCGTGGCTCGGGTTACACCAATCCTCGCTACCCAACGCGGCCAAAGGAACAAAACAAACAAATCTCTCTCTCCAAAGGATATCCACCTCGAGAACCTCGAGAGAGAGGACGACTCTTCTGACGCCCACTCCGATCATTTGCCGCCCAGTCATATCGTTGCTCAGGTCCACTCTCTCTTCGAACACTTGTGCCTCCACGGATGATGCCGGCGCTGGGGTCCCCCTCGGGTGATTCATCAGCTCGCACGGCGAATTCTTTTGGGCGGAGGATTTAGAGAGTCGCCAGCCCCCTTTCCAGCCGCCGGGGCGGGCGCGGCCTGCCGAGAAATGACGACAGCCGCCGGCATGCTGCCGCCGATGATTCTGCCGCGCGCGACGCAGCCAGCGGAGCCCGAGGATGAGCCGGCGGGCCCTTCGGCGCCGCAGCGCGCTGCACGTGCTCCCGCGCAGGGCAAGCGCAAGGGGTGGGTGCCGAGGTCGCAGGCTGACTTTTGCGACGGCGGCGCGTACCCGGAGATCCACGTCGCTCAGTTCCCGCTGGAGATGGGGCGCAAGGGCAAGGCGCAGTCGCAGGTGCTCGCTCTCACGACCGACGCGTCGGGCCGCGTTGGCCACGCCGCTGGCATCGCGTCGGTGGGGCAGCGCGACGGTAAGGTCGTCCACGCGACGCGAGACTCGCTCGCGCCCAAGAATCTGGGCGATGAGGAGCTGGCGCGGCCGAGCGAGGACGCCGCCGCGGAGAACACCGAGCGCACGCGATTGGCACTCGAGGCTCTCGCTGGCGCCAAGGTGGCCAACGCACACGGCTCTCTGGAGAAGGCGCGCGGCGGCCCCGCCCGCCCGCCGCCCCGCCCGCCGCCCCGCCTCCCTCCCGGCCTTCCCACCGGCCGACCTGCCGACTCGCCGCCTCCTCCGCCGCCTCCCCCGCCTTGCCCCCCCGCCCCCCCTCCCGCCCCCGCCCCCCCTCACCCCCCCCCCCCACCCACACCACACACACACACACACACAACCCGAGGCCAGATGCGCCAGATGCCCGAGGTGAGGGAGGCTGACTCGCGCGCGGTGTGTGGCGCAGGCGATGAGCGACAAGAAGCCGGCGCAATACATCAAGTACACGCCGTCCAACAGCGGCGGCGCGCAGGCGGGCGGCGCGACCAATCGCGTGATCCGCATGGTCGAGGCGCCTGTCGATCCGATGGAGCCGCCAAAGTTCAAGCACAAGCGCGTCCCGCGCGGTGCGAGGCCCTTCCGAGACCCTTCCGAGACGCATTCTGAGCTAGGAGGGGCCCGGGCTGCGTTCTCCCGAATCCTGTCTTTCCTCTCGCCTCGGACACCTCTCTTGGACTCTGCTCGCACACCGCAGCTCCGCTCCGCACTTCCAGCCACACTCCCCGCCCAGCCACACCCCGCCCTTCCTCATTCCGCCCTGCCAGCGCCCGCGGCACGCCCGCCACGCGTCCATGACGTGTCGCCGACACGTCGCCAGGACCGCCGTCGCCCCCCGTGCCGGTGATGCACTCGCCGCCACGCAAGATCACGGCCAAGGACCAGGTCTGGGCGCCTCCCGCTCTCCCTGCCGCCGCCCGCCGCCTCTGTCCGAGAGACTCTGCTCCTCTCCTCCTCCCGCCCTGCTGCTCTGCTCGAGCACAGCGGCAGGGCGGCGCTGAGTGTGGCACGGCTCCATGACCCACAACCGAGCGGGCCGGCCCCAAGCCCCTCTTCCCGCAACCCACAACCGAGCGGGCCGGCACCGAGCCCCTCTTCCCGCCCCGTGTGCAAAAGGCGGACTGGAAGATCCCCCCGTGCATCTCGAACTGGAAGAACATCAAGGGCTACACTATCCCGCTCGACAAGCGGCTCGCCGCCGACGGCCGCAACCTGCAGGAGGTCCAGATCTCGGACAACTTTGCGAAGCTCTCAGAGGCGCCACTCTCACGCAGCGACACGGAGACCGCGCCGCGCGCACGCGACAGACACAAGAGCCGCCCACGCGACAGACAGCCGCCCTCGCAAGCGAGCCGTCCCGCCACCCCGCCCCTCCGAGCGTGCCACACCGCCCCCCGCCCCTCCACGCGCCCCCGCCCCGCCCCCGCCCCTCAGGCGCTGTACATCGCCGAGCGGTCGGCGCGCGAGGAGGTGGAGAAGCGCGCCGACATCCAGAAGCGGCTTGCGGCCAAGGACAAGGAGCGCAAGGAGGACGAGCTGCGCAACCTCGCCATGCGCGCGCGCGAGGAGCGCTCCGCCGCCCCGCCGCCGCCGCCGCTGCCGGCCGGCGACGCGTCTGGCGACGAGGAGGAGGGGGACGTGCGCGAGCGCGACGAGCTGAGGCAGGAGCGGAAGCGCGAGCGCGAGCGCGAGCGGCGGCTGGAGAACAAGGACGGGAAGCGGTCCAAGATGACGCGCGACGCGGAGCGCGACGTCTCCGAGAGAATCGCACTCGGGCAGGCGCGGCCGTTAGCCGGCACCACCCCACCCCTACCCCCCCTGTCGCTTCCCGCTTTGCCGAACCCCCCCCCCCCCCCCCCCTACCGTCACCGCCCCTCATGCCGCCGCCGCCCCCTCTTGCCGCCGCCGCCCACTCTTGCCGCCGCCGCGTGTCCAGGCGGCTGTGCTCAAGGCGGCGCGCTTCAAGGGGGCGGACCGCGGCTTCGAGGGGGCGCGCGAGCAGGCGGCGGGCGGCGGGCCTTCGGGCCCGCGCGAGTTTGTGCAGGAGGACGACGAGGCGGACCCGTTTGGGCTGGACGAGCTGCTGAGCGAGGCCAAGCAGGGCCGCGGGACGCTCGACCGGATAGGCGAGGGCTCCGGCATGGGCGCGGCCGCGGGGGGGGGCATGGGCGACTCTGGGCGCTCGCGCATCAACTTCGAGTCGGGCAGCGGGCGGAGCTAGCGACGCCCGTCCGCGCGGTCGCGTCAGCGCTTTGCGGCGCCTCTGATGCTGCGGCGCGCCGGCACTCTGCCCACTCTGCCTTCGGAAGGGATTGTCTGCCCGCTGAGTACACCCTGGTTTTTTCACTCGCGGCGGGAGTGTGTGCATCACTCATTCCACTACGCACCGTCGTCATCTGTCGTCTGCATGTGAGTGGTTGAGAGACCGACGGAGCCGCTGATTGGCGCTAGCGTGTGTCGGAAAGGAAGGCTCGGCGAGCGTATAGAAGCGTGCTCGACCTCGTCGTGGCAACCTGTACGGCAGCGCTGGTAGGCGCGAGATGAGCGTCGTGCCACCTGACCCGAGACGGGTCGCGCAGGCGTCGTACCGAGCGCGTCGAGACCGTGTACTGATGTGATCTGCACGGGTGAGTCACGTCGGCGTCAAAGGAGCGCGACGTGCGACCTATCCGAGCTTGATCTCCGATCTCAGCGTATGCAGTGCACGACGCCATATCAGGGCAGTGCGCTACTTGCGGCGCGCAACGCCTGCTCAAGTACGCGCACCGTACCATGTGCTGCCGCTATGCGTGTCTTAAGGTGGCTGCAGCGAAGCGGCGGGCGCGGCATGCCGATGGCAGTGCGGACGATACGGTTGCGATGTGTTCTGCTTCAAGATCGTGGCGGTGCTTGGCATGCACTTCTGCGATCCCAATCAGCTCATCGCAACGAAGCAGCGCAACAAGCTGCTGCTGCCAACAAGGCCCTATGCTACCTCACGCGCGGATCTTTCAAAGAGGACCAGCGCGTGCACAGGCTTCTCCGACATGCGTTTGTTTGAGCTTGAGGCTTGTATCTGTGAGAACTGTTTGGCTAGACGTCGCGAAGATTGCGCTCAAGAGCGAAGCAGCAACGAGAATCGGAAGAGGAGGATGCTGAGGCGGCGAATGCTGAGCATGAGGAGGATCAATCCGGATTAGTACTTTAGGCGCCCGCCGCAGGCGAAGAAAATTTGGGGGCTAGCGCCGTATCGTTGATCACGGTGGGAGCCAGGCTGTGCCACGGCAGACTTAGCCCGTGTAAGAGGCTCTCGCTGACCTTAGACCGCGTAAGCACCCCAGCGTGACTAGCTTAGGGGACCCCTAGGCTTAAAAGGGTGGGCCCTGGGGCGCCTGCGGCTTAAACGGCTTAAAACCGGCCTAAGCCGGTTTTAAGAGCTGCTGGGCCGCCGATTCCTTAAACGGTCTTAAACGCTTAAACGGTGCGGGAGAGCTCCCGAGGTCGATGGTCCAGGAGGCTCCCCAGTAGACGCCGGAGGCCGGGAAGCTCGCTGGCTACAGTCAGCTGGCACGCGTCCCCTATGCGAGTATGGCTCCCGCCAGTGCACCAGACTTACAGATGCGTCTTCAGTGGCGGGTTTGTGCCCAATAACGGCAGTATTGGAAATTGGAGAAAACGGCGCGGAACCCAGCGACGCATGGCCGGTGAGGCCGATTTTCTTAAACGGTCTTAAAAGAGGGACCCCCGTGCCCCCTGCAATCTCGTAAATGGCAAGTTAAGCCCCCAAACCTCCTCGTTTCTTAAAAGGTCTTAAAAAAACCCGGCCCTCAGAACCCTAGGGGTCCCCTAAGATTAGCGTGTCAGAGAGAGTGAAATGGCACTATAGCCCGAAAGAGATTTCCGGTCAGGGAGGGTAAATAAAAAACGGTGGTGGCAAACTCTCGACCTTCGTCGACGAGATATGTGGGATTTAGGGACATGAAGATGCGCATGCACAGGGGTCAGGGATCTTGGAGAGGTGTGTATACTGGGTGGACCATCTCTGATTTCTTTCACAGCGCCCCTCGTAGTCGTTGGCAGGTCAACCAAGACACGCCGACACGCCGTACGTTTGCAGGTCATCGCACCACCACCCTTGGCAGCAAAAAGCTGCGCCAGAGGTCCACCAGCCCCGGCGCCGCCCCCTCGCCCTCAAACCGCTCCTCATCCCAAGCGATCAGGTAGCCAAGCCGCATCACCTCGACCGCCCACTTGCGAGCCGCCTCCGGGAAGAGCTCGTGCGACTGCGGCGACCACTCCGCCGCCTTGAGGATGAGCCTGCCCACCTCCACCGCCTCGGCCGCTGGCTCCAGGTTGGCCGGCCTGCGGAAGGGCAGAGGCGTGGGGTGTGTCCAAAGAGAGGATCCGGCGAGTGGGGGAGAGACCATTGCACAGCGCGCCTCAGTGCGAGGGCCTTGGCCTCGCCCGCCACGCGCACGCCGAAGCGGCCCGTCGAAGCGCTCGCGGAGACGACGACGCCCGTCTTGCCGTTCATCGACGGCCGCGAGACGAGAGAGTGGATCGCGACGGTGGAGCCGACGGCCGCAGCGGTCGGATCCGACTCGCCCCACGCGCAGAGGACGTGCGCCCGCTCGAGGGCAGAAGGGTCGCCGGCTGAAGAGTCCGCGCCGCCGCGCAGCAGCGCCCGCGCCCGCTCGACGGTGAGCGCCTGCGGAAGAGGGGCAATGGGCGTGAGGTCAGCGCGCTCACGCCTTCGGCCGCTCGTCTTGGGCACGCCTCGAGGTGCTGGAGCGGCGTCCAGCCGCGGCTGGCGACCAGCCAGGCGGCGAGGTCGGCGTGGCCGCGCCTGTTTGCGATCTCCTCGGGCGTGCCGAAGGGCGTAGCGGCGCGGGAGGCTCCGTAGGAGGAGGGGAGCTGAACAACCTCGAGGTGACCCTGGTGGCACGCAACGAGCAGTGGCGTGACGCCTTGCTCGTCGGTTTGGTCAACTGCCGCGCTGGCCTCGAGAAGCAGCCGGGCGCACTCGAGACGCCCCTGCTGGCACGCGACAAACAGCGGCGTGGCGCCGTCATTCTTGGCTTGGCTGACCGAAGCGCCGGCCTTGAGAAGCAGCCGGGCGATCTCGAGGTGGCCGTTCTCGCACGCGATGTACAGCGGCGTGAAGCCTCCCTCATCGGCTTGGTTGACTGCCGCGCCAGCCTGCTGGAGCAGCCAGGCGCACTCGAGGTAGCCTTCCAGGCACGCGATGAACAGCGCGGATCCGCCGCTGCCGTCCGTCGCCCCGACGCTCGCGCCGGCTTCTAGCAGCAGCCGCACCGCCTCGGCTTGCCCGTGCCGAGCGGCCCAGGTGAGCAGCGTGTCTTGGTTCTCGGTGTCGAGCCGCGCGTTGAGCTGGGCCGTGAGCGACGTGCCGCGCGTCCCCCACCCGGAGAGGACGGCGCGCAGCGAGGCCAGGTCGCCCACCGCCAGGTCGGGCAGCAGAGTTGGGCTCGCGGCGCCGCTCATGCCGCCAGGAAAGAAGAAATAACGCACTGGCGCTCAGCGGCCGCGCGGCGTGGCGTGGAGCGGTTGAGCATCCCTCCGGGGGCCCCTCTGCGCCGGGGAGGCGTTGTTGGAGGCTAGGACGCAAGCGTCCGTCGCCCTTTTCAAACTCGGGGCCCACTCCGCTACGCTCCGACCCGAATTTGGAGGGCCTAAAAGTTTAAGGTGTTGCTGCGCAAAAAAAAGGGGTCGGACACAGGGCGCAGCTCATGCTAAGAGCTAGAAGGGGAGATGGAGAGAACAAGCACCCTGTCCCGTTATTGCGTACAAACACCAGCACCACAAAAGCTCTCTCTCTCCTGTCCTCACTCAGGGGGGTCACAACTACCGAGTCCCTCGACTAGCTGCCACGTTGTCGACCGAGAGCGGATCTCCTCCTGCTCCGCAAGGAGGGTGGCCAAGGCTAAAGTCTTGCCGGAGCCGCCAGGCGCGTTGACGACTTGGAGAAGGTCGCCCTTCTACTTGTACTTGTTGAGAAGCTCGAGGGGGTGCTTTGTGGGGCGGTGCGCAGCCAGGCCAGCAGTGAGGGGAGGCGCACGACGGGAGGGTCGCGACAGCAGTCCTCGGGCGAGCCGACGCGCATGTCCAACCAGCGCTGGGACTCGTTGTGACGGCAGACGCCAGCTGCTTCTCCAACCGCTTCTGCAGCGACCTTCTTTGCCCGGTGCATGGGCTCGATCCGATTCCGCAGCGTGTCGTCCCCAGCGGCGGTGCTGCGCGGGAGGCGGCCGCGGGCACGCTGGCTCGATCAGCGGCTTTCCCTCAGTTGCTCCGTTCTGGCGGACGTTCTTGGCTTCAATTTTACGGATGTGGCACCAGCTGAAGGCTTGCACGGCCGACATCGCGCGATTCGTGCACGGTATTCGGATTTTGGCTATTTGCTCGTGTGGGGGTATATTTGCAGATTTGTCAATGGTACCGCGTCTGCGACGCGGGCGCCTTGCGAGCAGAGCCCTTAGGACACCCTTTATTTATATCTTGCGCGGTCAAAACTGGGATTCTTCCATTCTTACACTTGCCTGGCTGTTCTTCACCTTTCTACCTACCTACCTACCTACACTTCACCTACACGTCCTCCCACGTCCTCCCATCCCTCCCTTGGGTTGTCTGTTTTCTTTCTTCGTTCTTTCTTTCTTACACTTCACCTCAAAAAAAAACAGACTCTAGCACTCACACAGAGAACCTCGAACAGCTCTCAAACTCGAGACTCCAGTCAGAAGACACGCCGTTGTATCATGGGGAACGCGGTGCGCCTGCGGCGGCCCGCACCACCACCCTCGGCAGCACAAAGCTGCGCCAGAGGTCCACCAGCCCCGGCGCCGCCCCCTCGCCGTCGAAGCGCTCCTCGTCCCACGCGATCAGGTAGCCCAGCCGCATCACCTCGACCGCCCACTTGCGAGCCGCCTCCGGGAAGAGCTCGTGCGACTGCGGCGACCACTCCGCAGCCTTGAGGATGAGCCTGCCCACCTCCACCGCCTCGGCCGCTGGCTCCAGGTTGGCCGGCCTGAGGAAGGGCAGAGGCGTGGGGTGTGTCCAAAGAGAGGATCCGGCGAGTGGGGGAGAGACCATTGCACAGCGCGCCTCAGTGCGAGGGCCTTGGCCTCGCCCGCCACGCGCACGCCGAAGCGGCCCGTCGAAGCGCTCGCGGAGACGACGACGCCCGTCTTGCCGTTCATCGACGGCGGCGAGACCAGAGAGTGGATCGCAACTGTCGAAGCGACTGCCGCAGCGGTCGGATCCGACTCGCCCCACGAGCAGAGGACGTGCGCCCGCTCGAGGGCAGAAGGGTCGCCGGCTGAAGAGTCCGCGCCGCCGCGCAGCAGCGCCCGCGCCCGCTCGACGGTGAGCGCCTGCGGAAGAGGGGCAATGGGCGTGAGGACAGCGCGCTCACGCCTTCGGCCGCTCGTCTTGGGCACGCCTCGAGGTGCTGGAGCGGCGTCCAGCCGCGGCTGGCGACCAGCCAGGCGGCGAGGTCGGCGTGGCCGCGCCTGTTTGCGACCTCCTCGGGCGTCCCCCAAAGCGTTGCGGCGCGGGAGGCGCCATAGGAGGAGAGGAGCTTGGCGACCTCGAGGTGGCCCTTATAGCACACAGCGAACAGCGGCGTGGCACCGTCGTCCATCGCCTGGTCGACCGCAGCGCCGGCGGCGAGGAGTAGCCGGGTGATCTCGAGGTGGCCCTCCTCGCTCGCAATGAGCAGCGGCGTGGCGCCGGTGCAATTGGGTTGGTTGACCGCCGCGCTGACCTCGAGGAGCAGCCGGGCGCACTCGAGGTGGTTGTTCTGGCACGCGATCCACAGCGGCGTGACGCCAGTATGGTTGGCCTGGTCGACCGAAGCGCCAGCCTCGAGGAGCAGCCGGACGCACTCGAGCTGGCCCCGCTGGCACGCGACGAACAGCGGCGAGAAGCAGCCGTCCGCCGCTTGGTTGACCGCCGCCCCAGCCTCGAGCAGCAGCCGGGCGATCTCGAGGTGGCCGAACTGGCTCGCCATGAACAGCGGCGTGGCGCCGTCACCCGCGGCCTGGTTGACCGCCGCGCTGGCCTCGAGAAGAAGCCGGGCGCACTCGAGGTGGCCCTGCTCGCACGCGATGTACAGCGGCGTGACGCCATTATCCAGGGCTTGGTTGACCGCTGCGCTGGCCTCGAGGAGCAGCCGGGCGCACTCGAGGTGGCCCTGCAGGCACGCCATGCTCAGCGGCGTGGTGCCATCGTTCAGGGCTTGGTTGACCGCAGCGCTAGCACCGCACAGCAGCCGGGCGCACTCGACGTGGCCCTCTTGGCACGCGATGAGCAGCGGCGAGATGCCGCCGCCCCCGGCTTGATTGACCGCCGCCCCAGCCTCGATAAGCAGCCGAGCGATGTCGAGGTGGCACTCTTGGCTCGCGATGAGCAGCGGCGTGAAGCCGCCACCCGCCGCTTGGTTGACCACGGCATTGGCGTGAAGGAGCAGCTGGGCGCACTCGAGGCATCCCTTAAAGCACGCGAGGAAGAGGGCGGACGCGGCGTCGCAGTCAGCCGCCCCGACGCTCGCGCCGGCTTCGAGCAGCAGCCGCACCGCCTCGGCCTGCCCGTGCCGAGCAGCCCAGGTCAGCAGCGTGTCCTTAAACTCGGTCTCGAGCCGCGCGTCGAGCTGAGCCGCGAGCGGTGTGCCGCGCGTCCGCCCCCCGGAGAGGAGGGCGCGCAGCGAGGCGAGGTCGCCCTTGGCCAGCGCCGCGAGGAGGGTTGGGCTGGCGCCGCTCATAGTGTACACCGTGCGCCAAAAAGAAAAAAATCCCCGAGTGCTAAGATCCCATTCATATTCAGGCTTCACGGTCCAGTCGTCTTGAGGTTGAGCATCGTCAAACGCGCCAAAACAAACGTTGGTGCATCCAAATTTCCTTCTCGCTCGTGTGTGCGGGCTCCTTTTACGGCTTCTATGGCCAACCGGATCAACCGTTCACCGATCTCTCCCCCCTTGCTAGACTCTCTACACACACCTGACGTACGGTACACACATGGAGACGGCGGCGGACGCGTCACTCAAGACGTCAGGCGTCAGGGCGCGAGCTCCTCAAAAGAGCCGCGGCACCAGAGGCCGCTCGCCCGACACCACCTCGAAGGTGGAGTAGATGGCGTCCCAGTTCTCGTACGACACCTTGGCCACCGCGGCCAGCGTCGCGAGGGCGAGCGCCTGCTTGACGACGCGCTCCACCGGCTCGACGAGCTCTCTCAACGCGCTGAGCCCCGCCGCAACCACGCCGAGGCCGAGTGCGTAGGGCGCCATCGCGCGGACGATCGCAGCGGCGAGTGTGTCTGCAGACGGCACCTGCGGCAGCGTGATGCCCGCCGCCTTGACCGGCGCAGGCGGAGGAGGCTCGTCGATCAGCGAGGCTGCCCCTCGAAACGCGGCGGCGGCGCCCGAGGCGAGTGAGCGCGAGCCCTGCTCCGCTGCGCGAGCGAGCCCCGCACCGACGTCGGGCGGCAGCTCTCCCGTCTCGTAGACGGTCCGCGCGGCGCGGGTCACCACCGGCGCCACCTGCTTGCCCGCCTCGAGGCCCTCGGAGGCAATCCTGCTCACGACCGGCGCAGCGGTGGTGGCCGCCTTGCCGCCCACAGCCGCCGCCGTCGCCGCCGCCTTGACGGTGATCTCCCCGACCTGCGCCGCCACGCGTCCCGACTTTTCGACCGCCTGGCGGGGAGGGAAGACTGGCTCGTGCGACGGAGACGCGTGGCGGGCCGACTTGGGCTACTTTGCACCGACTACAGCCACGCGCGCGGCTGCGGCGCAACGGCGAGTGTGGCGCTGCACCGGGTGGTGGGGGGCCCATCGTGTGCTCTGTGGCGTGGTCCGGTGCCGTGCGTCGCGGTGCGCAAAAGTGTGCGCTGCCGCCGGGACCTGCAGCTGCTCGGGCGTGAGAGCACCGCTCAGCGCCTTGCCGACCGTGCCGCCGGTGGACTGGAGCACTGGCTTGGCGGCCTCCACGCCCGCGGCCAGCTTCTCGGCAACAATGGGCGCCTGCTTCTGCGCCACGTCCGCCGCCTGCTCCGCCGCCGATTGGATGACCGGAGCTGCCACCCGGCCGACCTCGGGGAGCGCCCTCGCCGCCTCCTCCGCACCGAGCCGCAGCTGCACCGCACCATCCGATAAGATGCCTACACGGCAGCAGTGGGAGCCTCAGCCGAGCGTTCCCTCTCCGGGAGCAGAGGTCGAGTGCGAGCACCGCCAACCACCGCAGCCGGATCGAGGCAGGTTGGAGCGGTCGTGATGCGGCGGCTGGCAGCAGGCAGCCCAGAGACTCGACCCGCACGGCCGTGGAGCGCCGCGACGGTATGAACAATAAGGAGGTGCATCGAGACGAGCAGCGAGTGGTCGATGCGCGTCTGTTGTGGCGGCAGCGACCTAGCCTCCGGAGTCGGATGAGAGTCGAAAAAAGAATTCCACCGCCGGGGCTCCCTTGGGTTGTCTGTTTTCTTTCTTTCTTTCTGCACACTGGCACGACAAGGGCGCGGACTGGCGCGGACTGGCACACACACCGGCTCACGAAAAAAGAAGTGAAATGTTCCTGTATGTGAGGCTAATGACTGCACTCCAAGTGCTCCAAAACAAACAACTCTCGCTCACAGCATCCCTCCCTTGGGCTGTCCGTTTTCTTTCTTTTTAGTAGACTGGCTCGACACAGGAGACAGGTGCGAACTGGAGAATTTTCTGCTACCTCCCGGCCGCCTCACTGTTCACCGGTTGTCTGTTTTCTTTCTTTCTTTCTTACTGTTCACCTGTCCCCCTGATCGTCCTTCCAAAATCCTGCTCGTGCAGGTGGGGACCCTGTCCTCCTCCCCCATCCCTGGTGTGGGTTTGTCTGTTTTCTTTCTTTCTTTTCACTGTTCAAAAAAGGCGGTTAGTGGGGAGAGATTTTTGAAAACCAACAAGAAATCACGACTCTCACAGTGATTTGGGCTCGGCAGCTTGTTCTTCTTGTTAGTGGTGCACTAACCTCCTCACTCCTCATCGCAAACCCTGGTCAGCAGAGTCCTGAGAGAGATGTGTTTTTGTGTCAGAGTCCTTCCCTTCCTCCGTCCGAAAACAAAAACAAAACAAATGGGAATGTACGTAAGAGCCACATACATGGAAAAAAACTCCGATGACAAAGAAGGTGCAGCTCCCCCGCCGGTCCCGTCCCCTTGTGTGTTGTGTCTGTCCCTGTCTCCCTGATCGTCCTTCCCAAGACGCAAGATCCTGCTCGTGCAGGACCACATGTGGGGAGGACCCTGTCGCTGTCCTTCTCCCTCCCACCCCTCGTTTATTTAGAAATGACGGGATTGGACACGGAACAGCAATGACGACATCTTCGCAGCCACGGACCGGTGCCACACCGACAGCCGGAGCACAAAGACCCGCAGAAAGACCCTAAATAAACGCCCAGACAATAAAACATGCACACCAGTCCGACTCCGTCCGAGGTCCGTGCTCCGAGTCCGACGGCCGACGCAACAACCCCGCGTGTTCGGTCAGCGGGCATGTTTAGATCTACATACATCGCCCTGCTGCTCGGTACCAACGCACACCGACTTCTGGGAGATCCGGGTGCCACACATACGCGCGTCTCCGATTCACACGTACTCGGGCCGCGCGGACCGCAGGGCACACCAATCCCTTCTCATCATGTCGCGTAACTAGAGCGAGGCGGCGTGCCCGTCGACGCGCACCAGCCTCTCCGCACCTCGCTCGCCCTCGTATAGTGCTGCACCACGCCGTCGGCAAGCTCCACGCGCACCAGCCGCTCCGCACGTTCCTCGTCCTCGTAGTGCTGCACAGTGCCGCTTGCAAACTCCGCGCGCACCATCCGCTCCGCACCTTTCTCGCCCTTGAAGTGATGCACCTGCCCGGTTTGCAAGTAAAGCACCCGAAGCTCCGCGCCGCTCTCCTCGCCGCGTCGCAGCGCCCACACCTCGAAGCGACGCTCGTCAGCGCCCTCTACTGCCGAGATGCAGAGCGCCGGGCTCACCCTCGCAAGCCATGGGAAGTCGCCAGCGCTGGCTTGGCGGTCGGCGGCGTATCTGCGAAGGGTGGCCTCGCTGAGCGTCACCACGCCGAAGGTACCGACGAGACGCTGGCTGAGCAGCAGCCAGCCTGGTTGGAGCTGTCACTGAATGAGCTGCGGGCGGCCGACGCTGCGGCGGAGGCGGAGGCGGAGAGAGCGCTCGCAGCGGCAAGGGCAGCAGAGAACGCAGTTTCAGCAGCGAGGGCCGCGGCAGCACCCCCCGACGACGACGCCCAGCCCACGGATTGGCTGGGCGAGCTGCCGCCGGAGCTGCACCTCCGCATCCTCGAGGGCGTCGACGACTTCTCCGACTGCGCCGCCTTCAGCATCGCGTCGCCGCGCCTCGGCCTCCTCGCCCTACGCAGCGGCCTGGCGCGCTTCAAGGACCCTCTCTTCGCCGTGGCGATGCGGCTGCTGCTCAGAGCGCGAAATTTCAGCTGAGCCCTGGTCTGACAGCCTGACAGCAAACCCGGACAGCGCCTGACAGTGGGCCCGACAGCCTGACAGCGTTGACAGCACTTTCTCTGACAGTCTGACAGCACGTATCTGACAGCCTGACAGCAGAGTCTGACATCAGAGGGGCTCCGTCGCTGTCAGGCCCTAACGTGACAGCCTGACAGCTGCCTGACAGCCCGACAGCACACAGTGGCCTGACAGCAGCGCTGACAGCCCGACAGCCCGACCAGCCCGACAGCAGCACAGACCGTACACAGCCGTGCAGCCTCTTTCTTGCGCCCCATGAGGGTATAACAAAACATGCAAAGACATACACATGTGAGTGTGGTGCATGCACATGTACATGTACATGTTGTTGTTGTTGTTGTGCATGTGAGTCATGGGTCTCTCTCATGGGTCTCTCTCTCAACCCTCCGCCCCTCCCGCCCCACCTCTGCGGACCCCTCTCTAGCACCGGCGGCTGTGCTACTACAAATGAAGCTACCAGCTAGCCTTCTGGGGCCCTACAGTCATATGCCTACGGCGTCTGGGTGGGGGTGGCCGCCGCCGTCTGTGCCGCGCTGCCGCCGCCGCCGCCTGCGCCTGCGCCTCCATCTGCGCTCCCCAGGCGGCCGCCGCCGCCGGCGTGATCACGCCGTGAAGGAGGAGAGGCTGAGAGTATGTGTAGTAGAGTCCTGCTGGTCTCCTCTTGATAGTGTCATAAGTGTGGCTGGTGTGTGTCAGAGCCTGACAGCACCCCGACAGCACCACCTGTGACAGCACCTGACAGCAACAGCCCAACGTCTGACAGCAGCAGCAGCCCGACAGCTCTGACAGCTCCGACAGCGTCTGACGGCAACACCCGACAGCTCCGACAGCACCCGACAGCTACGGAGCCCCTCTGATGTCAGACAAGCACCCGACAGCACCCGACAGCACTGACAGCAGAGCACCTCTCTGACGTGACAGACGAGGCACCTGACAGTGCCTGACACTCGAGGCCTGACAGTGCCTGACAGCCTGACAGATCACCTGACAGCACCTGACAGCCTGACAGCCAGGGCTCAGAATTTCAGGAAATTTCGCGACTTTGTGGTGCTCGTGTATCTTTAGTCAGAGACATGCATGTCTGGAGGATAAAGAGTATAGCAGTGTGATCCCCGGCATTAGTACAGTCGTTGCCCAGTGCGCTTTGTGGCTGTTCCGGGCATCTTTTCATCTGACCCCTCTGGCAAAGGAAATCCCACTTGAGACAGATTGTCAGTCTACAAGCAGCCCAAAATCGCCCTCGAACTCCTCGCGGTCGCGCTGGCGCGCCGCGCCGTCCGGGCCGTAAGAGCCGAGCCTGGTCTGGGCCCGCTCTAGCCAGCCGTAAAGGAGGGGGCGGCAACGCTTGTAGGCCAGAGCCCCGTCCACCGCCTCGCACCAGCGCTGCAGGTCGCGCATGCTTGCGGGCGGGAGGCGGAGGACGGTGGTGGCGGGAGGGAAGGCGTTGGGGCTGATGGTGGCGGTGTCTGGCACGGTGACGCGGGTCAGGGAGGAGCAGCCGCGGAAGGCGAGGTTGGCAACGGAGGTGAGGCCGGCGGGGAAGGTGACGCGGGTGAGCGGGCAGTCGCGGAAGGCGCCGCCGCCAATGGAGGTGAGGCCGGCGGGGAAGGCGACGCTGGCGAGGGAGGAGCAGCGGAAGAAGGCGTAGCCGCCGATGGAGGTGAGGCCGGCGGGGAGGGTGACGCGGGCGAGGGCGGAGCAGCGCTCGAAGGCGCAGCCGCCCATGGAGGCGAGGCTGGCGGGGAAGGTGACGGTGGTGAGGGCGGAGCAGCGCTCGAAGGCGTGGCTGCCGATGGAGGTGAGGCTGGCCGGGAAGGTGACGGAGACGAGCGAGGAGCAGCCGGAGAAGGCTCCGTCGCCGATCGAGACGAGGCTGCTCGGGAAGGCGACCGAGACGAGGGAGGCGCAGTACCGAAACGCCCGGTCCGGCAGGTGCGTCATGCCTTCGGGCAGCACCGCGTGCTTGCCGGCGACGACTGCGATTCCTGCTGCCCTCGCCGCTGCGAGCGCTCTCTCCGCCTCCGCCTCCGCCGCAGCGTCGGCCGCCGCCCGCACCTTCTCCCAGTGACGGCATGGGAGGCGCCGCATATATGTGTACACAAGAAGGTCTTCTTCTTCTAGGTGTTCCGCGAGGCGGCCGACAACAAACTCCCTCGCGCAAAAGAATTCCCTCTGCGTTACACCATTCTTTATGCTTTATGCAGAACTCCTACCTCCTAGCCTGTCTCGTTCTCTCCACCCCCATCCCTCTTCCTACGGGGAGTGCTTCGCAACGCGGCCTCACCCGCGTAACACCGCCCGCCTGATCCCGCCGACCGCGCCCGGCAGCGTACGCACCGCCGCCTTGCAAAACGCAACCACCGCGACGCGGAAGAAGAGCAAACCCACGGCGCCGATCGCCGCGGCGCCCCTCCAGCCCGCCCTCACCTGCCGCTGTAAGTGTGACGCGACGAGCACCCGGCGCACGCCCGCCAGCCGCTCGGCCCGGCGCCGCCGCAACGCCTCGCTCGCCGGACTGACAGGCAGCTGCTCTGGCGGCGGCCGCCTGCGTCGGGAACACGCCAGAGTGAGGGATCCGCGCCCGTGTCTTCGGCGCATCGCGTGAACACGAGGGCTGCGAGTGAGTACCGCGGAAGTCAGGGGAACACGTGTCCTCTCCGACAGCTGGTCGGAACACACGGGTCTGTACTCGGCGTCTAGGGGTGGAGGCCGCTCGTGCTTCGGCGGCGGCGAGAGGGCGGCGGCGAAGCGCTGCGTGAGCGACTCAGCGAGCATGCGGACGCCGAGGCGGCGGAGGTGGCGCGTCTTGCGCGAGGTGGTGAGAGTCGTGAGGAGCTCGGTCGAGTCGAGGTCGCGCGCCTGCGCCGTGAGTACGGCATTCACTCCTCGGATCTCGGGGGGGGGGGGGGGGGGGAGCACAGCTGAGCACAGCTGAGCACAGCTGAGCACAGCTGAGCACAGCGGAGTGCGTGTCCTCTCGAGGGCCCGTTTGAGTACACGGGTCTGTGTTCGCATCTAGGGCTGCGGGCGATGCGGCGCAGCGTCGCCCCTCCCGGCGAGCCTGCGACAAGACGGGGGTGGGAGGGTGAGGACCGCAAGTTGCCAGCAACCACTGCCGCGTCGACGCGGACCGCGCGCCCGGGGCTCCCCACGCCGAACGGTTTTGAAAAGGGGGGGGGGGGGGTCGCCGGGGCACGGTGTCCGTGAGGCTTGTCCAGATGTAGAGAGGTGGGGGAGGTTGGGGGTTTGGGGGGGAGTTGACGGCACGTGGTCGCATCTACGGGAGGGGAGCCGAGCAGCACGCGCACGGCGTCCAGCGGGTCCGCCGTGGCGGGTGGCGTGGCGGCGCCGCCGACAGGCCCCTCCGCCGCCGCGGCCGCGCTCGCCCCCTCGGCCGCCCCCTCGGCCTCCACGGCCTGCTGCTCGCCTGCCGGCGCTGCGAGCTGCTGCTGCTCGATCAGCTCGTTGACGCGGTCCCAGCGCAGCGTGTTGTCCGACGCGAGCAGCGCGCCACGCAGCGCCTCCTCGCCCGCGCTCGTCGACGGGCTGAGCGCGCGCCGCACCTGCGTCGTGAGCCCACAGACGTCGGGACGAGACTATGGACTGCGGTGCATCCCGGGCATCGCGTGAGTACAGGGGCCAGGAGTGGAGAGACAGGCGCATGCGGCTGAATACAGCGGACTCCGTGTCCTCTAGAGCTGGTCGGAAGACAAGAGTGCGTCTTCCGCATCGAGGGCGCCGCACCGCCCACGGTAGCGACACCTCGTAGATGTTGAAGTTTGGGTCGACTTGGCCGGCGATGCCCTCGAGGGTGGGGAGAGCGGTGGTGAGCAGGCGACCTTGCCTAAGCCTCGGGCACTCTCGGGCGATGGCGGGTGGTCCCGGGGCCGATCTGTGGCCACCTCGAGCGTGAGGAAGGTGCGGATGAGCAGGATGATGTACGGCGGCGTGTACCTGCGGCCGGCACGGCCCCCGGTCAACCCGCACGCGCGGGCTTTGGGGGGGGTTGGCGGCGGGCGGCGCGCGCATGCGCCACTGGTTGCCCATGTCGAAGAGGACCGTAGAGAGCGCGCCGAAGCGCGAGGTGCCTCCCGGCACGCTCTCCATACGCTCCTCGAGCTCCGCCGCCATGGCCTGCAGGGGAGAGGTGCGGGAGAGGGGCGGCAGGGGAGAGGTGCGTGGCTTGACGCTCCCATCTGGCGCGCGGGTGTGAGCATGGGCTGGGCAGGGGCGGTGTGAGCATGGGCTGGGCAGGGGCGGTGTGTGCGGAGCGGAGGCTCGTCGGAGGTCGCCTCGGGTGAGCCGCTGCCAAACTCGCCCGTCGTGTCCTCGCGGTACTCGATGGGCGTGCCTGCAGGAACGCAGAAGCCGCGCCTCAAGCCGGGAGCTGTGGTCAGGCAGCGCGGCGCTCGATGGCCCCGTGCCCACGAAGCCCGTCTGGACAAACGCGGTGACAAGTCCGCGCCAGTCCTTGTTGAGAACGCACTGGATGCCTGCGGGGCACGAGTACGGGCAAGTGAGGGCGGGGGCGCAGCCTCGTGCTGTGCATTCAAACCCAAGGGCGAACACGGCCGCAAATCGGCCGAGTGCAGCCGAGCCCATGCCTTCGGGAGCGCCAGCTGCCAGGGTCCGCACGTCCCGCATCTAAAGCGCGGCACCGTACGCGAACGCCTCCATGATCTCGGCGCGCACCTCGGACATCAGCCCAAAGTCGAGGAAGTAGAGCCGCCCGTCGTCGCCCAGCATGATGTTGCCTTCGTGCGGGTCGGCGTGGACGAAGCCAGTCAGCACGAGCGAGGCGGTGACGGCGTCCACCGCCATGTTTGTCATCCGCGTCCCCTCCTCGCGAGAGAGGTCGCTTAGGTGTCGGCCTGAGTTGGGAAGGAACCGGATCGTTTGGGGGGGGGGGGGGGGGGTCAGTGCACGGGCGGGGATGGCGATGCGGAGACACCGAGGACAGGGTGGTGAATACAAGATCGTGCCGTTGCACTCGGGGCGCCGCGTGAGAACAACGGCTAACAGTACAACGGCTAGTAGAGGGCATGCAGCTGAGCACAGCCGAAGCCTTCTCGAGTGCTAGTAGAGGCCCGAACTCCGCATCTCGGCGAGCCGGCCTGCTACCCACTCGGTGACGAGCACGCGCGGCGTGGGCGGCAAGCTCGGCACCGCCGCCGGGACGGAGACGTACCTGCGTGTCGCGGGCGCGTCGGGTGAGGGACTCGGGGCGTGCGTGGCGGGCGAGCGGGGCGGCGGCGAGACATCGTTCCGCTCCGATGATTGCCGGTTTGCGTGCGCGGTCGGAGGAGGGGAGGCGGGCCGGCGGTGTGTCGCTGCCGCGGGAGTGGCGCCGCACCCCAAAAAGTCGAGCGAGCGCTCGAAGCGCTGCGCGTTGACCGCCTCGTTCCGGTAGTCCATCTCTTCAAACACGCCGGCGGCGACGATGTCGGTGATCTCGACCAGGTCGCCGTTCCCCCACCCCGTCGACTGGATGCCGTAGAGGACCTGCCGCGGCGGCGGAGGAGGGCGGGTGGTGAGCGGTGGCGTGGGAGGCGTGTCGTGAAGCGTCGGCAGTAGGTCGTGGTCGGACTGTCTCCACACGGATCAATCTGAGCGCTGACCGTCGTTAGCACCGCAAAGTCGGTCGCAACCTTCGGGCGGCGGGGCGCGTTCGGACGCCGTCAGGCGGTGCCGGGGGTGGGTGGAGAGGGAGACAGTCGGCCACACTGGGCACACAGCGTCGCCCCAGCCAGCCCGAGCTCTCCCTGCTAGGCCGACTGCCGACGACTGCCGACGACTGCCGACTACTCGCACTCGCGCGACTTGCTGTCCCACACTCCCCCGGCGGGAGCAGCACCGGCGGCGTGCGCTGCGTGCGCCCGCCGCCCTCGCTGCTGGGGGCGACTACGGCCTATGGCTTGCGGCCGGGCGGACCTGCCGCATCGCAGAGGGCCTCTGCACCTTCACCGCCACCTCGGAGCCGTCGTGCAGCGTCGCCTTGTAGACTTGGCCGAGCGAGGCGCTGGCGATGGGGCTGGCGCTGATGGAGGCGAAGAGCGGCGCGCCGTCGGGCTCGGCGCACTCCGGCGCGCACACCCCCGGCGCGATCGGCCCTCGCCACTCCAGCTCTTCGGACAGCAGCCGCATCGCTTCGGCGTCGTCAAACGGCTTGTTTGTGGTCTGCAGCGGCTTGAGCTCCTCGCAGATCTCCTCGTCGAGGATGTCGGGCCGCTGCGAGAGGGTCTGGCCGAGCTTGACCGCCACCGGCCCGAGCACCGCCAGCTGCTCTCGCAGCCGGACACCGCGAGCCTGGGTGTCGTCCGACTCGCGGCGCCAAGAGTCGCGGATCGCGATGGCAGCCCTCGTGAACTCAACCAGCCGCCCGCCAAACTCGAGCGGCCGCAGCGCGAAGAATCGCTGCAGCGCGGCGCGGTCGTAGGGGCCGCGCAGCTGCTCGTATGCGGAGTACCGTCCTGCACGCAGGCGTGCAGCCGAGGCGGCGGTAGGAGCGGCGCCAGCGGCTTCCGGTGGCGCCGCGATGCAGGCAGCAGTGGCGCGCATGGCACTGTGTGATGAGGTGCCACCCTGAAGTGTACCACCTTGAAGTGCAAGGACCACATGGAGTAGCAGGAGCTGCATCCGCGGCAACGATGGTGGTGGGAGGTCGTCGAAGTCCGGCTTTGGGGAAAAAATTCTCGGCGCCGCCGAACCTCTCCAAGGCGCGAGACACAGCGCTGCAGTCGCACGTCTACCTACGTCATAGTGCCACGACGTGCGGCCTGGAGTTAGCACACGCGCCTCAGCTCGCAAACACTCACCCATTTGATTGTCACTGTCCGTGAGTGCGAGATTAGGGCTAGCCGCAGGCAGCTAGCCCATGAGGAGGGCGTCCATAGACACCTCACTAGACCCCACATACGGTCTCGTCCGTGCCTCGCCGGCCGGAGAGATTGCTAGAGGTGGAGCATGCTGCTCTAGCCTCACATGTCACTTCCTGTCGTCTGTTGTTTGTTGTGCCCTTGTTTGTTTCTCTTGGCACCTTGGAGTGCTGGGGGGGGCGACAGGGAGGATGTGGCCTTGAGTTATGTGTACGCCAACTCAGGGTGTGTGGCAGCCAGCTGGCTGTGTGTCTTGTGAGCTTGTTTGTGTCTGTGTGTCGCTCGTGCGTGTCGTCATCATCTGTCTAGCGTCCACCCATACCGCGTTGGTGTCCAGTCCGAGCCTGGCTGTTCTTCACCTTTCTACCTACCTACCTAGACACACTCTACTCATATGACCAAACAAACCAAAACACGCCTACGCCCCCGCTGTCGCCGCCGCCTACTCCCTCTGCTGCGCCCACCATCGCCCTCGTCTTGCCATCCGCCCGCCCCCGCGCGCCGCACTCCTCCTAGCCCTCCCTTACTTCCCCAAGGCCAAGCAAGGGGGCGGGGGCGGGCTCCGGGCTCGCCGCCGGCCCCGCCTCCCCCCCGCCCCGCTCCGCACTAGGTATGTTTCGCAGCAGTCCGTCTCTTCCCTCGCACGGTCCACAGCGATCAATCGAAAGGCCCCCGTGATCCGTAAAAATCGAACCCGGGGATTTTAAAAATCGGCGCCGCGGGGACGGGCGCACGGCCCTCCCTCGCCCGTCTGCACGGCGGCCGTCGCGCGCTCGCCCGGGCAGCCGCTACGCGCATATGCTCGCCCTGCTGGGCCCGAGCATTGTCGAGGGCTACGGCGGACGGCTTGCGGCAGAAAAGTGCCCCACCGTGTCGGAGGTCCTCTCCTCGGAGGAGGAGCTGCGTTGGAGCATCTGGAACGACACAGCCTGCAGCCGGTGTCAGCTGCCCAGGCCGTGCGGGACCGACTACCCGTGCTGTGTTATAAGGAGAGGCGAGGCCGACAGGCGAAAGACCGCGTACACCCGCATGACCTGCAACCGCCACATCAACTCCAAGATGGTCATCCCAAAGGACGGCCCCGTCCGGGACAGGATGCTCCGGTTCTGCAGAGACTACCTGCGTTTGCCGCTCAGCATGCCGGATTGCGAGGGCCGCCCGGAGCGCGTGCCGCGCATCTTGCACTCGGTCTCCGCCGGTACGCCCGACTTCACACAGCGAGGGGTCTCCCTCTCCAACCCGAGCTTCCGCTTTCACCACCTCAATGACTCCGAGGCGCACGAGTACATTCGCAAGCGCCTCGGCAGGCGGCCCGCAAACGCGTATCGGTGCCTGAGTGCGCCGGCGTGGCGCGCAGACCTCTTCCGCTTCTGCGCCCTCTACGCCGAGGGCGGTGTGTACCTGGACGCCGACATCGTGCCGCTCCATCCCCTGCCGACACTGTACTCGCCCTGCAGCGGCTTTACCCTCGGCCACGACCAGCCGCAGGGCTTCGACCCCGCCCGCATGGGTACGCCGGTTCCCGGGATGCAGATGAAGATGCTCGCTTCAGTCCCAGGCTCGCCGATCGCCAAATGCATGATCGATCACATCGTGGCGAATGTGAGGAGACGCAGCGTAGACCATTCAAAGATCACAGCTGGCGCGCTGCTGCTCTCCGGACCGGGACTGCTGCACCGATGCTACGAAGAGAACCGCCACGATGTGGCGATCACGTACATCGACACGCGTGACGCGATGTGGCCGATGACCGGGCTGCGCCGCGGCACCACCATCCTCGCGTACGAGAAGCCAAACCCAAGGCTGCACATGAAGGGTCCTCTGGCAGCCAGGGATGCGCAGGACTACACCGAGCTCTTCGAGTCGGACAACGTGTTCACGAAGCAGTGCGCGCTCTGACATTGGGGCGCGTGCTCGAATCCATAGGTAGGTAGACTAGAGGTGCAGTACACTCATTGCCGGGGGTATTGTCACGCACAGAGACATCAATCAGGGCTGTCTCGGCTGTCAGCTTGTGGTGCTGTCGTCGGCGCGCGGGGCGCGGCGCGTGCCAGGCTGTATATATCATGTATGTCCCGGCCAGCGTTCAGCACCAGCAGCCGTCAGGTCTGGCTCGGAGCTTTTGGTATCCTGGGGGGCATAGCACGCCTAGTCGCAGCTCGTTACGAAAGAAATGCATACGTATTCACGCTACCCGTACGGTACTCAGAGCGTGTAGACGAGAGAACAGACCCCGCCGCGCCGCAATACACGAAACCGGAGCGGGCGGGACTCAGGCCGAGCGTTTTTGATCTCTGGATCTGTGGGGGGCCGAGCCGCTTCGGGGTGGCGGGCGGGCGGGCGTTTTGAAAAACAGAAAACAGAAAACAAGAGGGGGCCCGGGGGCCCGGGACCCCACTGGGAGTAGAAAATACGCCCAAGGGGGCCCAAGGAGGCGGCGCGGGGAAGCAGCATCAGGTGAGAGCAGGAAGGATGGCGCTTAGGGTCGGCTTTGAACCGAAGGGTTTCCAGGTTTTAGATCAGTATTGGTGTCGGCACACATCCCCACATTGAGGTCAGCGGCGCGCAGTGCCTCTCTCGCAGGCTGATTTTGGCTGTTTTCGAGCTTGTTTTTGTTTTCAGTCTAGGGGGCCCGACCCCCTCAGAGGCGGCGGGCGGGCGCCCACAGATCCAGAGATCAAAAACGCTCGGCCTCACTCCTTCCCTCCAACAGTAATTTCTCTCGATCTCGCCAGCTTGGCGCTTCCGCTCCGCGCCTTGCTCGCCCTAGTAGTGCTGCACGTCGCCGTCGGCAAACTCCACGCGCACCCTCCGCTCCGCACCTTTCTCGCCCTCGTAGTACAGCACGTCGCCGTCGGCAGACTCCACGCGCACCATCCGCTCTTCCTCGCCCTCGTAGTGCAGCACGTTGCCATCGGCAAACTCCACGCGCACCCTCCGCTCCGCACCTTTCTCGCCCTCGTAGTACGACACGTCGCCGCCGGTAGACTCCACGCGCACCATTCGCTCCGCCCCTTGCTCGCCCTCGTAGTGCTGCACTTCGCCGTCGGCAAACTCTATGCGCACCGTCCGCTCCGCATCTCTTTCGCCCAGGTAGTGCTGCACGTCGCCGTCGGCAGACTCCACGCGCACCATTCGCTGCGCGCCTTCCTCGCCCTCGAAGTACAGCACGTTGCCGTCGGCAAACTCCGCGCGCACCATCCGCTCCGCACCTTTCTCGCCCTTGAAGTGATGCACCTGCCCGGTTTGCAAGTGACGCGCCCGAAGCTTCGCGCCGCTCTCCTCGCCGCGTCGCAACGCCCACACCTCGTCGTGACGCTCGTCCGCTGCCCCCTCTACTGCCGAGATGCAGAGCGCCGGGCTCACCCTCGCAAGCCATGGGAAGTGGCCAGCGCTGGCTTGGCGGTCGGCGGCGTATCTGCGGAGGGTGTCCTCGCTGAGCGTCACCACGCCGAAGGTACCGACGAGACGCTGGCTGAGCAGCAGCCGCATCGCCACGGCGAAGAGAGGGTCCTTGAAGCGCGCCAGGCCGCTGCGTAGGGCGAGGAGGCCGAGGCGCGGCGAAGCGAGGCTGAAGGCGGCGCAGTCGGAGAAGTCGTCGACGCCCTCGAGGATGCGGAGGTGCAGCTCCGGCGGCAGCTCGCCCAGCCAGTACGTGGGCGGGGCGTCGTCGTCGGGGTCTCCGCAAGGCGCCGCTGCCGCGGCCCTCGCTGCTGAAACTGCGTTTGCTGCTGCCCTCGCCGCTGCGAGCGCTCTCTCCGCCTCCGCCGCGCGGCCTGCCGCCGCCGCTGCCGCGGCCCTCGCTGCTGAAACTACGTTCTCTGCTGCCCTTGCCGCTGCAAGCGCTCTCTCCGCCTCCGCCTCCGCCGTAGCGTCGGCCGCCGCCCGCAGCTCCTCCAGTGACGGCATGGGCGATTCCGCCTCGCCCTCAAGCTCCAGCTAACGGCGGCGCGTAAGAAAAGAATTTCGCGGGCGGGTTTTCTTTCTTTCTTCAAAATTCTTTCTTTGTTTGTTTCTCACAGCACATGGCGGAGATCTCGCGACGGTGCCATGCTCGGCGCATGAGCGGCGAGGGTGCCACGACGCAGTGACGGGAGTCCTAGTTCTCTGTCCCACGTCGACGAGCCGCTGCGGCGAGGACTACTCGAGTAGGGCGAGGAGCCGCTGAAGCGCTGTTGGAGGAGGATTGCTGTGGGGGAGGAGGGGAGTACGAGCCAAGCTGGCGAGATCGAGAGAAATTACTGTTGGTGAGAAGTGAGTCCCGCCCGCTCCGGTTTCGTGTAGCATGTGGACCCCAGACCTGGGCTCCGGTCCGCCTAGCATGTGCCCCCCCCCCCCCCCCCCTAGCATGTGGTGAAGGTGCTGGGGGGGGGCGGGACCCCCCCCTAGCATGTGGTGAAGGTGCTGGGGGGGGGTCGGACCCCCCCCCTAGCATGTGGTGTGGAGAGAAGGGCGCCCCCCTCCCTGGAAGCGATGTCCGCCTGCTCTCACGCCGCGCCTCGCTCTAGTTACGCGACATGATGAGAAAGGATTGGTGTGTGTGCGCGGGCCCGAGTACGTGTGAATCGGAGACGCGCGTGAGTGGCATCCCGGATCTCCCAGAAGACGGTGCGTTGGGAGAGAGAGAGAGATAGTTTTGTTTTGTGTTTGCTGTTTGCGTTGGTACCGAGCAGCAGGGCGAGGTAAGCATGCATCTAGCTCGCGGACCGAACCAGGGCTGTTGCGTCGGAGCACGTAGAGGGTCGGACTGCTTTTTTGGCGCGCGGAATTAGTGCACCTAAAGTCGTTTTTTCGGTATTAAGTGCAAAATTCTTTTTCACGTCGCCCCAAAGATGGCGCTCTCGCGCCACCGCGCACACCGAGCCACATGGACACGTCCGCCTCCCACTCCGATCTCGCAGACCATTGCCCCGAGGAGACCGCGTCCCTCCTGCGGGCTCGTTTCGCCGCTTTGCACGTTGCAGAAGCCGAGAGCTCGCGGCACGCGAGCGAGCGGTGGCGGCGCGAATCTGAGGTGCTCGGACACCAGATCAATGCGATGGAGGAAACCATCGGGCTGCTCGAGCGAGAGATGAAGCTTGCCCAAGGGCAGCTCGCCAAGGCCGAGCGATTCGAAGCGGCTGCCAAGGCGGCAGGCGGCGGCGGCGGCAGCGGCGGCGGCAGCGGCGGCGGCAGCGGCGGCGGCGGCGGCGGCGGCTCAGCCGACATCGAGCTGCTGCTCGGCCAGCTGGAGGACAAGCTTCTGCGGACGCAGCATGATCTGGAGGATGCGCGCCGCGCCCACTACTTCCCCGCCGCCAGCGGCTTCTCCCTGCGCTTCTCGTACAACGACACCTACGTCGGCTTCAAGGCACGGCTGCCTCTCTTTCCTCCCCCGCTCCTCCCGCCGCCACCCGCGCGTGCACGCGGCTCCGTGTGAATAGGAGCTGCTCCTCGAGCACCTCTCAGGGGTCCTGCGCATCAGCGTCGCCGCCGGCACCTCCGCGCACGGCCACGCGCAGGTGCCCTCTTTGCGAGTGACGTGGGAAGGCGGCGCGGGCTGCGGAGGCTCGGGCCCGCTACTGTAGATGCGGTACCGTCAAATCTGCCAGACGCGCGCGCACGAAGGCACCACCACGTCGCAAGGTCGAGGCTGCAGGCGCTGCCCCCTGCGCTCTTCACCGCCCCTCTCCTCCGCCTCCCGCAGGCTCTGGCGGCGCTCTCCGCTTCCTCGGCGAGGGCGTCTCTGTGGTGAACCGGCGCGACCTCTTTGGCATCTCGCTCGCGCCAAACATCTCCTTCACGCGCATCGACCTCTCCGCGCGCTTCAAGGCCGTCCTGCCCCTCGTCTACCTGCCGAAGCGGCGCAGCTGGAAGCTCGAGTCGGGCTTCAAGATCGAGCTGCTGCAGTTCAAGAGGGAGGCCTCCTCGTCGGCCGGCGCCGAGTCGGAGTACGCGCCGGAGAAGCTGCTGCGGCTGCTGATGCAGGCGGTGATCGAGGGGATGACGCGGCACCTGCTCATGGGACAGCTCGGCCCGCACCTCGGCGCCTACCTCAAGGCCGCGCGGCACGGCGCCGAGGTCGTCGTCGACGTGTCCGTGCGCGGCATCCCCGTCCGCACCTTCGACGCGAACCTCAGCGGCGGAGGCGAGGCGGCGGCGGACGCGGCGCGGCTGCTCGGCATCTCGAGGGCGCAGGTGGAGCAGCTGGTGGCGGTGCAGCGGCTGGTGCGCCTCGACTCGCTGCCCTCGCTCGACGCCCTCGCGCCCTCGCTGGGCGCCGCCTTCACGCCCGCCGCCTTCACGCCCGAGCTGGTGACTCGCGCGCTGCGCACGCCGCTCGCCGCCTCCACCGGCGCGGCCCCCGTCTCGCCGACCTCGCACTCCTCGGCGGCCGCCGCGGCGGGCACGTCGCCCCTCCCCTTCCGCTCGCTCGCGGAGGTGCTCCGCTACTTCAACGGCGCCCGCCGGGCCGAGCCGCTCCGGTCGGAGATTGTGGCGCTGTGGCAAGAGGCGCTGTACGCCCTGCAGAGCGAGGAGCAGCCCGCGGACGTCGAGCTGCTGCTCGAGCGCATCGAGGCGCTGCAGCGTAAGCCCGCGCAGGTCGTGCTGCGCTGCCTCCGCCTCGAGATCGAGCTCGAGCCGGAGAAGCTCCTCGGCGCGATCGCCGACGCCATCGCCGCGCAGCTCGCGTCCAACTCCGCCGGGCACGGCTCGGCGTCGGCCGCCCTCGACACTTTCCGCGCCGAGGCGCGCTCCTACCTGGCCTCGCTCCGCACGAACATGCACCGCGTCTCCGTCTCCGTCTCGGGCGCCTTGCGCGGCGGCGGCGACGGCACGCTCTCGCTCTCCGTGCCGCGCGCCCTGTACGAGGGCACTGCCAGCATCTCCCGCCTCCTCTCGCCGCCGCGCGCACGCCCCTTCGCGCTGCTCTCGTCGATGCGCGCCGACGGCCGGCTAGAGGTCGTGCTCTCCCTGCTCGAGCGCCTCTCGACGAGCGGCGGCAGCACGGGCGACGGCACCGAGGAGCGAGGTGGGGCCACACCGTCCTTCGCATCCCCGTCACAATCCCCGACGCACGCGCCGACGGCTCCGGCGGCGGCGGGGGCGGAGCCGGCGGGCGGGGACGGGGTGCGGGGGCTCGCGTCGCGAGGCCTCGAGGTGCTCCGCACGCTAATCACAAAGGCGACCGGCTCGCTGCTGGTTGGCTCGAATGAGGTTTTGCGGGCGTGCCTGCTGCCCCAGGTCGCCCTGGACGGCGCGGGGAGACCCCCTCCTGCGCCATCGCTGCCACCGCTCCCCTCCTCGGCTGCGAATGTGTCCGGGGAGGCGGTGGAGGCGGACGATAGCCTCTCAGGCGGGGGCGGCACCGGCGCCGCGCTCTCGCGCGGCGGCGGCGGCTTGGGCGACGCTGGCGGCGGGGCCGGCGCAGGCGACGCCAGCATCTCTGACCTCGCTCATCGCGCCGAGGAGCGCGGCGGCGCGGCGCTCGCCCCCGCCAGCCTCGCCCCAGGCTCGAAGAGCCCGCCCCCGAGCGCGGCCGGCGACGCCGCGCTTCGGCGACAACCCGTCTCGAGGCGCCGTCAGATGAGGACGGTGGAGGTGTACGAGAACGAGCGCCGGCTGACGGTGCTGCGAAAGTACTCGGCGGACGACCTCTTCCCGCTCGACTACTCGCACTACTCCGACGAGTACGGCACGCAGCGCTGGTCCTCCCTCGAGGAGGTGCCCCTGCCCGACGGGGACGGGTGGCGGTGGGCCTCCCCATTCCGCGTCGACTACGACGGCGGCAACAAGAACGACGAGGGCTGGCAGTTTGGAATACACTTCAACACCGGCTGGCTGAGCGCCTCGAACGCCCTCACCCACGTCCGCCGCCGACGGTGGATTCGCGACGCGGAGTACGCCCCGCCGCTCCCGCCGCCTCCGCCGCCGCCCCCTCCCCTTCCGGCGGCGGCGGCGGCGGCGGGCGCAGCACGCGCTTCGCCCGTCCCCGCCGCTTGCGCGCCGGAGGGTGGGGCGGCGGGTGGCGCGGACGGCCGCAGCGTTGAGCCGCGGCGCGAGGGCGGAGATCGGGGAGGGGGCGGGACACGCTCCAGCGGCGGCGAGGGTGGCCTTGGCCGCAGCGAACACCACGGGGAGCTCAACGGCGAGGGGGCGCTGGCGCTGCTGCAGCTGAGTATCGCAGACGGCGCACGGCTGCGGCTCAGTGTCGAGGGGGTCGAGATGTCCGGCCGCCCCCTCCTGCTCGCGGAGCAGGTGGCGGCGGTGCTCCTCGATCAGAACCTGGCTGTGTACACGTGGTACCGCGAGCCGCTGATGATTGCGCTGGACCGGATAAGCAGGCACCTGCACTCGCCCAAGCTTCAGATCCAGCACTCCCTCCTCCTGAACGCGGCCTCCACGGGCGAGCCGGGCTCCTTCACCATCCACATGGCGGGCGCAGACGACTGCGAGGACGAGTCAGCAGGGGCGGCGGCGGCGGCGGCGGTGGCGGCGGTGGCGGCGGTGGCGGAGGATGAGGCGGCCGCGGCGGCCGAGGTGGCGCCGGAGCCTGGCGGCATTGGCGTGCTTGTGTTTCGCAACGAGATCAACCTGATGGACTTTGTGACCGACATGCACGACATCTACACGGCGTTTGCGACCAACATCACCGCCCAGTCGAGCTACGCCGTCCGGCCGGGCGAGTCCGCCACGGGCAAGGGGGGACGGGCGGACAGGAGGAGCAGCGGGAGGGACTGAGCTGCTCACCGGCACGCACGCACGCCCGCGGCGTGGCAGGGTCGTGAGCCTGAGTGATTCTTGTCGTGGGGGGGCAGGGTGGTCGTCGTGCTGCAAGCGCACATCCCCGCGCCGGCGCGCGATCCTCGCGATCCCACGCTCGCTCGGAGCTCCGGCGAGAGAGCTTGCAGCTTCATATTTTTTGCGCCCTCTTCCTGTTGCTCTTGCTGTTCCTCGTGTCGTCGTGTTTTTCGTTTTCTGTGTCTGTGGTAGTCTGAGAGTGGTACAAGCCAGGTACGTGGTGTTCAAACATAGTAGTAGGCGACACAATTCTAAGATCTGACTCCTATGTCCACGTGTTCTCAAAGACCACAAAAGCGACCCACGATCACCACGCCCGTGAAGCTAGTGGCCCTCGCGGGTTGGCCAAGCGCGTCAGTTTGGCGCTCAGTCGTAGGCTGGTGGGTGGCGCGCCGCTGCTTCCCGGACGGCCTGCCTGTACTCCTCGAGGTTTGCCATCTCGGAGGGCGGCAGCGCGAAGAGGCCGCACGTGTTGGAGTACGGCTTGAGCTGCTCTGCACTCGTCGCGAGCGGCGGCGGGGCGTCGGCGCCGCCGGGGGGCGGCGGCGCGCGCGCATTGTACGGGGTGAGGGCGGCGAGCCCCGGCTCAAAGTCGGCGTTCGTCGCCGAGGCGAGGTACGTGTACGAGGCCCGGCTGCCCGGCTCGGCCGCCACCGCCGCCAGCTTTGCGAAACAGCCCCCGTGGGCCTCGAGGACCGCCTGCGCGGCGCATGAGTCCCAGCGCGAGACGCCGCGGTCCTGGATGTAGCAGGACGCCTCGCCCTCGAGCAGCAGCAGCGCCTTGTTGCCCGCGCCGCCCGCCCGCACCAGCCCGCCGCCCAGCCGCTCCCCGAGTGACATCACAAACTCGCTCAGCCTCCCGTTGCTGCACACGAGGCGCCGGCCTCCGCCCCCGCCCGCCGGCGTGTGCGTGCGCGGCGCGCCGCCGCCGCCGCCGCCGAGCGAGCTGCGCGCCACCCCCTCCGCCGCGCAGCCAAGCGCGAAGGTCGGCGGCGAGGTGAGCGGCCGGTAGACGATGCCGGCGTGCGCGGCGCCTGTGGGGGTGGCGAAGCCGATGCAGATGGTGCACTGCTCGCCCTTGCGCGACGCAAACTCGCGCGTCCCGTCGATCGGGTCGATGAAGGGCGTGAGGTCGGCGAACGCCCCTCCGGCCAGCTGGCCGGAGAGCGCATCCACCCGGTCGCGGGTGCGAAGGACGAGCGCCTCGAGCTCGGCGGGCGCGATGAGCTCGCCGGCGCGGAAGGGCGGCCGGTCGACGCTGATCTCGCTCTCGTCCTCCTCGCCCACGATGCTGGCGACGTGGGGCGCGAGCAACCGCCGGAGCAGCGCCTGCACGAGGCCGTCGGCGAGCGTGAAGACCGACTTGTCCTGCTTGAGGGTGGCCGCGCTGCCGTCGGCCGAGACGAGGCCGTAGATTGCGGCCACAAGCTCGGAGAGCTCGCCGCACGCCTCTGCACAAGTCGAGAGCAGCACCGCGCTCGAGCCTTCACTCATCACAGCGGTGGCGAGCCGAGGCGCGTGCAGCGGCGCGGCGTGCGCGGCCCGGGCGAGGGGCGTGTGCAGGCGGCGGGCGGAGGCGGCGGTGGGCGCGCGGAGGGCGGCGGCCGCGATGGCGAGCGTGCAGGCGGCGAGGAGAGCGGCCGTTGCAGGACGAGGTTGGCCCTCACGGTATTTACGCCCCTGCGGGGTGCGGCGGGTACCTCGTGCATGAATCTCCCGCGATGTGTCGCGGACAAACCCAAGTAGACGCCCCTTGGGCGGGTATCGCATCTTACTTACACAAGAGGAACTATGACACATCGCTAGTCATGTACAATCATGGCAGAACCGAGGGCGGGCGATTTTCTTTTTTCTTTTTAAGAAAGCAAGAAAGAAATAACTGACGTTGTTTTCTCCGGCGAGGGGGTGGCTGTACTCTTCGCTGAGCCCCACGGCCACGGAGCTGGCCTTGCCATACCGTGAGAGAGAGATTTTTAGCAATACCATACCGTCCGCCTTGCGAGCGTGCTCACGCACGATAGCGATAGGGTGCCCACAGGGCCAAAAAAAGAAAGTAAAAAAGAAATGGGCCGAGCAACCCGATCGCAGCACTTCGTGTTGGAGAGTCGAGATATTGAGATTGTGACTAGGAGGGTAGGGACGCTGGGGATTCTCTCAAAGGTATACCCTTGGAATATACATGGCCGGATCCACGGCTGCCCCCCCCTCGCCGCCGCTCCTTCTCCTTGTCTCCTCTTCTCACGGACCACAGGGGCTGCACAACAGAAGCACACAAACACCCCCTGCCCCTGCATGGCGTGGCACAGGCGCGTCCTCATCCCCTCCTCCGCTTCCCCTTCCACCCGTTCAGAAATCCGTTCCAGGATGGCGCTGACCACCTCCTCAGCCACCTTCGTAGCCGCCGGTCCGTCTTCCGGCTTCACGTGGAACAGTGTGCGAAACTTACCGCCGCACCCATCGGACAGGCGGCTAGCGTGGGGAAGCGCTCCGTCCCGAGCGACTCGAGAGGAATCCCCACCGCTTGCCAGTGGCGTGTCACCTGTATCGCCCGCTGCTTGGCCACCCGAGCCACCATCCTCAGGGCGCCTCCCTCCATCCCGAGCAGCGCCCCCGCCATCTCTGCCTCCGCCATTCCCACCAGTCGCAGGAATCGGGGGAGGGCGGCCCGAACCGCTCCGTCGGGGACGGCCTCCTCCGGAGCCTCTCCCGCAAGTTCATGTAGCACTTGCAGCGTTGCTGCCGCGTCGTTCGCCTCCTCCCCGCCCCCCACGGCCATGTCTGACAGAGGTAGGAATGACAGGGAGTCGGGCTGCCAGCGCACCACCCTCCATGGTGCCATGAAGTCCACCGCCCCGCAACACGTCTGCGCAGTCCACGCCAGCGTCCGCCGGACCCCGCCCCCATACCACGTAGGGGCCCACCTGGTCGGTGCGCCGGCGCCCCTAAAATTCTTTTCTCCGGCGCGGCACCTGTTGGGCGCTGAAAGAGGAACCTATCGCTGGAGTGTGGATGCGGGCGGAGCGTGGAGGCGCGGGCTGGGACGACTGGGAGCAGGAGGACCAGCAGTGGGCGGGCCAGGGAGCGCGGCGGCCCGCGGGCCCGCCGCCTGCAGGCCCACCACCCGCTCGTCCAACACCACCATCTCGCCCAGCACAGCCGTTCCAGTACCAGCCCGCTGCACCGCAGCCGGCGGCGCCCGGTGCCCCCGTGCAGCACCCGTACGCGCCGCAGCCACGGGGTCCGGCGCCTCAGCCGCCGCGGCAGCCGCCGCCGCGGCCGCCGCAGGGGTACCAGCCCGGCGGCGCTCACCAGTCGCCCGCCGCAGCCTCGCCGATGCCCCCTCGGCCCAACATCTTTGTGCCGCGCAAGGTCTCCACGGAGGAGCCGCCCGCGACGTCGCTCTCGGCCTCGACAGGCATGATGCAGCCGCAGCAGCCGTCAGCCACGACCGGGATGATGCAGCCGCCGCCGCAGCAGCCGCCGCCGCCGCCGCCGCAGCAGCAGCAGCAGCAGCCTAGCTCGGCAGCCGGGCTATTCGGCGCCCTGGGCGGAAGCTTCTTGGGCGGCGGCGGCGGCGGCGGCGGCGGCGGCGGCGGCGGCGGCGCGGGCGGCGCGGGCGGCGCGGCGGCGGCATTGGCATCGGCGGGCGTTGCCGCGGCCCTGGGTAGCGGCGGCACGGGCAGCGGCGGCGGCGGCGTCGAGGATTTGGCGGCGTCTATGGCGATGAACTACGCGGGGCAGGCGCAGGGGCAGCTCAATCGGTACACCGGCTCCACGCTCGCCACGCTCCGCTACTACTTTGCCGTCAACCAGCTCTACGTCTTGCGCAAGTTGCGCGTCATCGCGCTGCCGTTTCGTCACAAGGAGTGGGACCGGAGGCTCGGAGAGGACGGCGCGCCGCTCCCGCCCAAGGCGGACGTCAACGCGCCCGACCTCTACCTGCCGCTCATGGCGTACGTCACGTACATCCTCGCCTACGGCTTCACGCTCGGCGCCGAGGGCAAGTTCACCTCGCCGGATGTGCTCGGCGCAGCTGGCTCCTCGGGGCTGGGCGTGCTCGTCCTCGAGACGGCGATGCTCAAGTTCGGCCTCTACCTGCGCGGCGCCGCGGTGCCGGTGCTCGACTCGGTCGCGCTGAGCGGGTACAAGTTCCTCGGCGCCGTCGTCACACTCGCCGCCTCGCGCTTGTGCGGCTCGTACGGCCACTGGAGCGCGCTGCTCATCTGCACCCTCCTGCTTGGCACCTTTGTCGTCAAGATGCTGCGAGCCTTTGCTCGGCCCGCCGGCTTCACGCCCGGCTTCCTCACCCAGGGGGTCGGCTCGCCAACCGGCAAGGCAACCCCCCCCCCCCCCCCAAAAATCGGCGCACACACACACACACACACACACACACACGCGCACACACACACACACACACACACACACACACACACACACACACACACACACACACACACACACACACACACACGCACACACACACACACACACACACACACTCCACCACCACCACCACTCCCCCTCCCCAGCGCACGCCAAAACCCCCCACGCCCACGCGCCAGGGACGAACTGCGAGGCAAGACTATCTGCTCTGGGGGGTGGGCGCGCTCCAGTTCCCGTGGCTCTGGTACCTCTGCCGCATCCCCTCGAGCCAGCCCTAGCCCGGTCCTCGCCCACGCCGGTCGCCGAGACGGCCGGCGACCGGGACTGGAGAGATGTGGTGCGACGTCCTGCGGTGAATGTCTGGCGAGAGAGCGAGAGAAGAGAGAGAGAGCTTGAGAGGCGTCAGTGGGGACCGGCACCGCGGTTGCTCCTGGCGCATTCTCTATGTGAGAGATTGAGATGGTCGTGGCGGTGACGAGAGGAGCTCAGAGCAGGGCCTCGTCGCTCGTGCGTGGGGCGAGGGGCGCGGCGGCGCGGGGGACGACGGTCGACGCCGCGTCGCGCGTGCGAAGCGCTAGTGGTAGTGCGAGGAGACAGGAGTAAGGTGTGCGGTTCTCGACACTCGCGCGCGCTCGTGCGCTTGCGTCAGTACTAGAGAACGCAACCGGCACAATCACACACACAGACGAGACCGACAAAAAAGCGTGCAGGGAAACACGCGCAGAATTCAGGTTTCAGCGCGGTTCGACGACGTACGGGGCTTAGAGGCTATCTAGATGCGAGACGTGGAGCGCCTCGTCCTTGTGCGACAGAGAACCAGCCCGGGCACTCGCTTCATCATCAACACATCAGCCAAGCGGCGGCCCATCGGTGGACGAGCTCGAAGCCGGGATCATGCGGGCGCCGGAGCACCGCAAGTCAGGCGGTCGCGGGCACGGCCCTGGCCGCCTCGTGCACGAGAGTGGGCTCGGCGGCCGCCTGGTCGAGGAGGACGACGCGCCCCTCCTCCCAGCCGGGCTGCTCGCGGAGCATGTCGACCACCGCCGCGCTCCCCCAGAACGCGTGGCCGACGACCTCGCCCTGCAGCCCGTGAGCGAGCGTGGGCGCGACGCGGCCGGCGCCGCCCTCCGGGCCGGTGACCTGCGGCGACAGGGCGATAGTGAAGTGCGGTCGAGGGGCAGCCGCGCCGGCCTTGGGGCGGGGGCGCCTCCAGCGCGTGCGCGCGGTCGAGCAGCAAGTTGTGCACGGCGGCGCAGCGGCGGATCACGCGGCGGCCGAGCAGCAGCGGGAAACGCCAGCGGGGCGCGCCGTCCGCCGCGCCGTCGAGCACTGGGTGCCACTCGGTGAGCTCGAGGCCGCAAGGCATGCGCGTGAGCATCACGCGGCCGCCGGCGCACGGCGTGACCACGACGCAGCGGACGCGCGCCACGGAGCCGTCCGCCGCGAGAAGCGCGTCGCCCGGCCCGACCGCGTCGATCGGCACGCGGCAGGGGGCGCCGTCGGCGCCGAGGGCGGTGACGAGGGTCTCCGGCGCGAAGCAGCCGCCGCCGCGCATGAACTCGGCCGGGAGAACTGGGGCCGGCGCGCACGGCGCGCTGCCGCCGACGGCGACGGGCACGCCGAGCGCGGCGGGCGCGCCCGGCTGCACGAGCAGCGACGGCTCCGGCGCCTTCATGGTCGCGAAGGCGGTCTCCGCCTCGTTGGACTGCTCCTCGAAGACGCCCTCTTGCCCGTCGGCGTCCTTGCCAAAGTGCTGTAGCGCCTGGTCGCGGAAGTTGGAGCGGCGCTCGGCGAGGAGCATGAGCCGGAAGGTACGGAAGTAGTGCGCGCCCCAGATGGAGTAGACGCTCGAGTCGCCCGGCTCGGGCGGCTTCAAGGCGAGGACCGCCTCCTGCTGGAGCGTCGCGACGAGCGCCTCGACGTCGGGCTCGGCCTTTGCGATCGAGCGCTCGCAGGCCTCGAGGAGGTTGGTCAGCGGCGTCGCTTGCGGCGAGGGGATCCCGGCCGGGGAGCGCACGACAATCTCGCCGAGCGCGTCCACCGTCTTCAGCCGCAGCAGCTGCGCGGCGACGCGCCGCGCCTGCTCCTCGTTGGCGGCGACGGCGTCCGCCGACGAGGCCGACGCCACCGTCGTGCCCGAGACGTGCAGCGAGACGGTGATGGCGGGGGAGCCGCGGACGAGCGGGAGCAGCACGTGGCGGGGCTGGTCGTAGCCGATCCAGCCGAGCGCAACCTGGGCCGCCTCGCCCTCGGCCGGGTCGGCCGCGCCGTAGCCGGGGAGCGGGCCGGCGAGCGCGCTCCGCGGCGAGACGACGAGCGTCGCGTGCGACGCGACGACGCCGTCCTTGGTCGGGAGGCGCGCGGTGCAGCGCAGCGCGGCGAGGAGGTTCACCATGAAGGGCCCGACCGAGCCGGGGTCGGGCATGTGCAGGAACTGGTCCGACATGCCCGCCAGCAGCTCCGAGTCGAGCTTGCAGCCGAGGCCGATGGAGGTGAGCGTGATCCGGCCGGCGACGCCGGCGCGCTTCTCCGCCGCCTTGGAGAGCGTGCGGACGAGCGGCTTGTACCCGTTCTTGCCGCGCGCGGGGTTCCACTGCGCCGACGGCATCCCGTCGGTCGTGATGATGATGTTGAGCGCGTACTGGCTGAGCGTCCCCGCCGCGATGGGGACGCGCGAGAAGGCGTCGTAGGCGTTCGTGAGCCCCGCCATCAGGTTGGTGGACCGCTCGGGCTTCATCGACGCGATCGCCTCCATGGCCTTCTCCTTGCCCGCGCTGTCGCACCGCGTCCAGTCGAGCAGCGTGGTGGCGCCGTCCGAGTAGGTGATGATGCACACCTGAGGGCGGCGGGCGCGTCGGCGCAACAGGAGGCGCGGCGCGGCCGGGCGGTGGAGTCCGGGAGACGACGGGGGCGGGGGCGCGCACGAGGTCGTCGTCCTCGAGCGACGTGACAAACGTGTTGGTCGAGTGCTTGGCGATGTCGAGCTGCGACCAGCCGTGGTTGACCTTGTCGCCGTCCTCCTGCTGCACCTCCGCCGCGGCGTTCATGGAGCCGCTCACGTCGATCGAGAAGAGGTACGCGCCCTTGGTCGCCTCAAAGGCAAATGTCTTGGTCTGGGGCGGCACGATGCGGACCATCGTCAGGTCGTCGCCGCCGCGGATCAGCTCCATTGACGTCATCCCACCTTCCTGCGCGCGGCGCGGCGAGGAGGGCGCCGCTGAGGAGAGCGCGCCGAGCGCGCGCCTCGGGGTCTGGGTGGAGAGGGAAACACACAGTCGCTGTGTCGCAGGGAGACGCTCTCTGAGCGCGCGCGGCGGAGACGCCGTATGCGCAGGCGCGGCCGAAGCAGCGAGGTCGCCGCTCCGCGCGCGGCACGGGGCAAGTGCGTGAAGAGCGCGCGAGTGGTGTGTGCGCGGCGGTGCGCTGGAAGAAGGCGGCGGCCTCTCTTCGGCGGCGCTGTGGTCAGCACAAATAACGCGATCGCTCAATATTAGCTCCGAGAGGTTTGGTCGGTGTGGAGCGGAGCCCGTATTGTACGAGTAGGCCTGTCGATCGCGACGGCCTTGGTTCCCACCTCCCGGCCACCTGCAGCCCGCTCGCAGGTAGCCATCCGATAAGCCATTCACAGCGACAGCTGTGACGGCGCCTCACGTGCTCGGCTTTCACAAAGTCGATCGCCGATCTCCTTGCTCGCGAGCGATGCACGCTGCCCCGCTGCGTTTGCTCGCTCGCTCACACTGCACGATTCGCCCCTCCCGCCACACCCTGCGAACCGTAGGTGGTTGGGCAGGCCCCTTCGGGGCCTAGCATGCATAGCCGGCGCGCTGCCTGCAGCCGGCCCACGCCGCGAAGAGCCCGATCGCCCGCGCCCCAGCCCCGCCAGCCCGCGCGACCTCGTTGCCTCAGCGATCTGCCGAATTGCGAGCACGATGCGATCTCACCATGTGACTGATACATGGTTAGAGGCGCTAGCCTCCGCTGCGGATGGCGTGTGCGACACGACTGCGCCCGTGGCGGGTGGCAGTACGTGTGACACCATGGGACTGATACATGTTACATGTACATGTTGTGTGTAACACCATGTGAGTGATACATGGGCCAGCGGCGTCTGCCACCGCTGCCGAGCGGCAAGTCCAATACACGGCTGTGTGCCCGTTGCGGGTGTAAAAGCGTGTGACACCGTGTGTATGATGCACGGTCTAACTGCGTTAGCCACCGCTGCCGAGCGGCAAGTGCGACACACCCGGCCCGTTGCGGGCGGCGGCTGAGAGCCATTGCGCGCACAGCTCGACTTGTGCCGCTGCATGGCTATAGCGAGATGCCAATCTCTCGCTCAAGAGATGAGACAATCTCCCTGCCGAGCTCGTTCACACCGCGTGTTCACAGCTCGACTTGTGCCGCTGCATGGCACTATAGCGAGATGCTAATCTCTCGCTCAAGAGATGAGACAATCTCCCCGCCGAGCTCGTGCACACCGCGTGTTCACAGCTCGACTTGTGCCGCTGCATGGCACTATAGCGAGATGCTAATCTCTCGCTCAAGAGATGAGACAATCTCCCCGCCGAGCTCGTTCACACCGCGTGTTCACAGCTCGACTTGTGCCGCTGCATGGCACTATAGCGAGATGCTAATCTCTCGCTCAAGAGATGAGACAATCTCCCCGCCGAGCTCGTTCACACCGCGTGTTCACAGCTCGACTTGTGCCGCTGCATGGCACTATAGCGAGATGCTAATCTCTCGCTCAGTCAAGAGGTGAGACAATCTCCCTGCCGAGCTCGTTCACACCGCGTGTTCACAGCTCGACTTGTGCCGTTGCATGGCACTATAGCGAGATGCTAATCTCTCGCTCAGTCAAGAGATGAGACAATCTCCCCGCCGAGCTCGTTCACACCGCGTGTTCACAGCTCGACTTGTGCCGCTGCATGGCACTATAGCGAGATGCTAATCTCTCGCTCAAGAGATGAGACAATCTCCCCGCCGAGCTCGTTCACACCGCGTGTTCACAGCTCGACTTGTGCCGTTGCATGGCACTATAGCGAGATGCTAATCTCTCGCTCAGTCAAGAGATGAGACAATCTCCCTGCCGAGCTCGTTCACACCGCGTGTTCACAGCTCGACTTGTGCCGCTGCATGGCACTATAGCGAGATGCTAATCTCTCGCTCAGTCAAGAGATGAGACAATCTCCCCGCCGAGCTCGTTCACACCGCGTGTTCACAGCTCGACTTGTGCCGCTGCATGGCACTATAGCGAGATGCTAATCTCTCGCTCAAGAGATGAGACAATCTCCCCGCCGAGCTCGTTCACACCGCGTGTTCACAGCTCGACTTGTGCCGTTGCATGGCACTATAGCGAGATGCTAATCTCTCGCTCAAGAGATGAGACAATCTCCCTGCCGAGCTCGTTCACACCGCGTGTTCACAGCTCGACTTGTGCCGCTGCATGGCACTATAGCGAGATGCTAATCTCTCGCTCAAGAGATGAGACAATCTCCCTGCCGAGCTCGTTCACACCGCGTGTTCACAGCTCGACTTGTGCCGCTGCATGGCACTATAGCGAGATGCTAATCTCTCGCTCAGTCAAGAGATGAGACAATCTCCCCGCCGAGCTCGTTCACACCGCGTGTTCACAGCTCGACTTGTGCCGCTGCATGGCACTATAGCGAGATGCTAATCTCTCGCTCAAGAGATGAGACAATCTCCCTGCCGAGCTCGTTCACACCGCGTGTTCACAGCTCGACTTGTGCCGCTGCATGGCACTATAGCGAGATGCTAATCTCTCGCTCAGTCAAGAGATGAGACAATCTCCCTGCCGAGCTCGTTCACACCGCGTGTTCACAGCTCGACTTGTGCCGCTGCATGGCACTATAGCGAGATGCTAATCTCTCGCTCAGTCAAGAGATGAGACAATCTCCCCGCCGAGCTCGTTCACACCGCGTGTTCACAGCTCGACTTGTGCCGCTGCATGGCACTATAGCGAGATGCTAATCTCTCGCTCAAGAGATGAGACAATCTCCCCGCCGAGCTCGTTCACACCGCGTGCTCACAGCTCGACTTGTGCCGCTGCATGGCACTATAGCGAGATGCCAATCTCTCGCTCAATAAATTAAGCAATCACCCTGCCGAGCTCGTTCACACCGCGTGTTCACAGCTCGACTTGTGCCGCTGCATGGCACTATAGCGAGATGCTTATCTCTCGCTCAAGAGATGAGACAATCTCCCCGCCGAGCTCGTTCACACCGCGGGTTCACAGCTCTCGGCTTGTGCCGCCGCATGGCACTATAGCGAGATCGCAATCTCTCGGGAAGAGATGAGACGACCTCCCTGCCGAGCTAGTTCACACCGCGTGTTCACAGCTCGACTTGTGCCGCTGCATGGCACTGTAGCGAGATGACAATCTCTCGCTCAAGAGATGAGACAATCTCTCTGCTGAGCTCGTTCACACCGCGTGTTCACAGCTCGACTTGTGCCGCAGCATGGCACCATAGCGAGATCACAATCTCTCGCTCAAGAGATGAGGCATAATCTCTATGCCGAGCTCGCCACATGCGATCGATACGTGGCGAGGCCCATTGCGAGCGCTAGCGCGAGATCACAATCTTGTTGACTATCGCGAGATCACAATCTCGCTCAAGAGATGGGACAATCTCTCTGCCGAGCTCGCCATGTGATCGATACATGGCAAGGCCCATGCGAGCGCTAGCGCGAGATCACAATCTCGTTCACTATCGCGAGATCACAATCTCGCTCAAGAGATGAGACAATCTCGCTGCCGAGCTCATTCACACCGCGTGTTCACAGCTCGACTTGTGCCGCTGCATGGCACGATGGCGAGATCGCAATGTCGCTCAAGAGATGAGACAATCGCCCTGCCGAGCTCGCTCAACCGCGTGCGTTCACAGCTGCCTCAGCGAGATGCGCTCACTCAGCGAGCCTGCACGCCGCCCGTAGCTCACACGAAACGCTAGTAGGCGGGTGGCGTCGTGGAGCACGTGGAGGGCTTGGCTGCCCCTCCCGTGAGTCACGGCGTCGGGTGGTCTCGCAGGGACCACCACCCCGCCACCCCGGGGCGGCGTGCGAACGGTACTCCAGCAGGTCAAGCGTGAGGCGACCCGCCAATACGCTTGGCCAGCTCGGAGCGACGACGACCGCTCGCACGCTGCGACACCTCCCGGGGATAAGGCATAGGAGCGCTTCTACGAAGCAATCTGTCGCCTCCAGGCCACTCTGCGGTAGCACACACACGTGCGTGAACACGATGCGCACCCGAATGCACCACTCCTATCCTTCCGGGCGGAAAGTGGTGCGGTGTGCGTGAACACGATGCGCACGTTAGCACAGCAACCGTAGCTAACAGACAGCGACAATTGCGTAGCGACTAGACAGCAGCTTGAGGGCCCAACTTCAGAATCGTGCTTTGAGTTGGGTTGTTTCGTGTTGGGTTGGGTTGTTGGCCCGGGTTGGGTTGGTCCGGCGTGAGTTGGGTCGTCGGCGCGAATGGTGAGGTCTCGACCGCCGCCGCTCACGCCAGCGGACGGCCACCATCGGTGTTTTTGGCTTCGCCACCGTCCAAGGCGTGCGCCATGCGCTCGCCGGCATCGAGCGAGCAACGTGATCGACCGAGCGGCTTGCTGTGTGGACGCCTTCTTGTGACTCTCGTCGAGAGCGTTTTGCGTCCCGGCGGGTGGGAGAATATGTGTCGTCTGATGTGTCACTGTGTGCGTCACATCGGTCTTGATAACAAGCACGGTCGATCCGTCGAAGCGATGCACTCGTTCCTATCACGCTGGAAGGCTGGCACGGAGCTCTGTGCCGGCACACAGCAAGAGCCGTGCGGCAAGAGAAGAGCTCGATGGGGAGCGAGAACCGTCAGAGGTGCTCACCCAGGTTTCGGAAGTCCGCCTTGATGCGGTCAGTTCCCCCCAGGTTTGACCGCGCAGCTCGCAAGACTCGTCGAGCACTCGCAGCCTTTCTGCGCCTCTGACTCTGCAAGCTATGCGGGAAGAGCAGTTTATCCGCAATATATCGACGAGTTCGAGAGAGCCACAGGCTTTCGCTCGGGAGGGATTGAGTGCATCGCGACGGACTTCAGGTTACACCTGAAAATCTGACGGTTCTCGCTCCCCATCGAGCTCTTCTCTTGCCGCACGGCTCTTCTGTGTGCCGGCGCAGAGCTCCATGCAAGCCTTCCAGCGTGATAGGAACGAGTGTATCGCTTTGACGGATCGACCGTGCTTGTTATCCACATCGATGTGACGCACACAGTGACACATCAACGACACACATTCTCCCACCCGCCGGGACGCAAAACGCTCTCGACGAGAGCCACAAGAAGGCGACCACACAGCAAGCCGCTCGGTCGATCACGTTGCTCGCTCGATGCCGGCGAGCGCATGGCGCACGCTTTGGACGGTGGCGAAGCCAAAAACACCGATGGTGGCCGTCCGCTGGCGTGAGCGGCGGCGGTCGAGACCTCACCATTCGCGCCGACGACCCAACCTCACGGACCAACCCAACCCGGGCCAACAACCCAACCCAACCCAAAAAGCACGATTCTGAAGTTGGGCCCTCAGCTTCAATAGCAACAGCAGTAGCGAGAGCAACAGCAGCAGCAGCAGCAGCAGACGAGAGCTACCCTTCGCTTGCATTCGAGTACACTAGTGACTCGCACTAGTTCGCTCCCTAGGACGAGCGACTCGCGCACGCCAGGGAGAACAATACGAGTGGGGGGGCTGATCCGCGCCGCCAGCACAGCCCCTGTGGCTTCGACGGGCGCCTCCCAGGGTGCTCCAGGCGACCGACTCGAGCGGCATGCGGCTTCGGACAGGCCTCGGCCCGGCTCCTGGCGGATCGCTGAAGCGTCTCGGCGGCTCTCTCTCGGTTGCGCGGTTGCGCGGTTGACGCTTTTTTGGCGCTCACGGCGGGCGGCGAGGCTGGCCTTGAGGTCGCAGCGAGCCGTCCAGACGTCTCACGGTGGCGTCGCGCATATCACTCGTGGCGTCGGTCGCCTTGGAGGCGGCAGAGACGTCCAGAGGCGGCGCATTTTTATGGGCACGCCCGGCAGCGCTGCGGGTGAGCGCGCCGCAGGCTGAAGACCTCCCTTGGCGCGGCGCGAGCGGCGCGCACCGCGGCACGAGGGCGCGCGGCGCTGCCGCCGCGATCAGTCGTCACGGCTTGCGCCCGGGCCGGCCGCGCGGTTGGCGTGGCAGCGACCACAGCACATGGTTCGGAGCTTCGGGCGGGCTTCTCGGTATCTTCGGTTGCCGCTGCACGGCGCGCGTGTCCGACCCAGTGAGTCCTACCGGTGAAGTGTGTGATGTCCAGCCGCGCGGTGTTGCAGACTACGTCGCGTGATGTGCTTGTGCGTCGGTAGTCATCGCAACTCGCACTGTGTCCGCACTGCCGGTGCTGGCTGGGTCCGTCGCAGCGCACGCACTCTCCCTGTGGGTCGAGTCGTGGTGTATGCGCGAGTCGTGGTGTGCGAGGATTATTTGACTAACACTCTGATTAATACCCAGCGCGGCGTCTCGCCCTCCCCTCTCGCTCGCGGCACCGAGCGAGTCAAACACACCACATCTCTCTCTCGCGCACGCGCACACACGTCACACCGACCGTCGACCGACCCCATGTGCCGTGCACAGCCAGCGCTCCCACCGTGTGGTGCGGCTCAGTCCACAGGCGCAGACTGATCCGTCGTGCGCCCCATGTGCGTACGCGCGCAAGCACATGAAATTCTTAAAACCAGTAGGACTCTACCAGCAGTACCTGTGGATGATCATAACGTGGTGACAAAGACCGTCATGGGAGCGCGGGTGCGGCAGCAGGCGGGGGTGCCACACGGAGCGCACCACGAGAGGATCATGCGGGGAGAGGCGGGGAGAGAGACCCCGGGCGCCGCCACGAGGAGCGAACTCAGGGGCTGCCTCGTCTGTAAGGCCGCGAGGGACGCGGCGAGGAGGGCGGCACTAAAGCGAGACCCGCTGTGTCCGATCGTGCGGAAAGCCGCACAGCAATGGACCGAGGAAGATGAGAACCCGCCTAGAGCGACGATGGCGCACTCGCTAAGCGGCGCCTGCCTGGGGAATAGGGAGCAGGCCAGATGGTTCCTCAGAGTAGCGCGAGCGCAAACGGGGACGGCGATCAGCAAAGTAGCCCAGGCGGCACCCGACTCCAAGGATACGCTGAAGACGCTGAGGATGGCGCATGTCGCTGCGCTGAAGGGCTCACGCTATAGGGTGCTGGATGAGGACGGGTACGATGCACTAGCACCAGCCGTCGGGGGGGTGTTGCCGGCGCTGGTAGATGATCTCTCGGAGAAGAGTCGGAGGGACCTTGGCGCCGGGGTCACGAGGAACTTGCAAGTCGTGGCCGAGGCGGCGACGGGAGCGGTGCAGAGGTGGATCCAGCTCAATGATGAGGCTACGGCGCGCATAATGAAGAGGGAGGAACAACATCGAGTGGCTGAGGAAGCTCTTCACTGGGTGGAAGGAGGCCCGGCCGGCCTTGAGGGAGTCGCGGAGGAGGAGGGATAACGCAGGCAACGCAGGGACGGGCCAACAGCCAGTGGGACGAACGAGGGCCGCGACGAGGCCGCGGTCGTGTGGCCACCGCGGAGGCGGGCAGGCTGGTGGTCATGAAGGGGTACACACGTCTCGCCGCGCTGACTAGGATCGGGGGGGCACTGAGGTGGTGGGGTGGCAGTGCTCTCTCGTTCTTCCCGGCTGGGGCACGAGATCCGGGCTAGATCCGGCTTTTGCGTTTTCGGTTTTGGCCAACCGCTGCACGCGCGCGGCGGGCGCGGGGTGGGCCAACGCCACGGAGTTGGCCTCCCTTTTTAGTCTCCCCCTCGCCTCAAACGATCTATAAACTAGCTAGAACTACCACATCTAGTGCACCGGGCGCTGAGTCGGAACGGCACACGCACACCGACTCAGGTCTTGCGCAGGGCCATCGCAACACAGAAGCCGATGGCTATAGCGAGAGGAATGGCGAGATTCGCTGCTGCTGTGATGAACGCGGTGTAGAAGTACATTGCGGAGCACTCGTCACTGGGCAGCTCTCCCACTCTGGGCGCAGTGATAGCCACGCCCCAGACGGCCATAGCGATGGAGAGCAGGCCGAGCGCGCTCACGCATTTCGTCGGCAAGTTCTTTTGCTGCTTGCTTGGCTCAAAGGGCACCTTGAACACGAAAGCCAGGAACGACTTTACGACTTGGACGAGGCCAAAGGTGATCATGAACGCGGAGAACGAGCGCATGATGGCGTCGCAGTCTGTCTGCGTGACACTGAGAACGCCAAAGACTGGCATCACGAGCGCTGCAATGGCCAGGACGAGCATGAGCGCACGGTCCTGGGCGGGCATCTCGTAGGGCTCGCCAGATCTGCCCTTTTCGAGGGCCTCTGGGCTGGGTGTCAGCGCCTCCTCGTCCATCGCGGCCGGCTACCGATCGGCCAAGCCGATTCGGCCACGCAAGGAGCCGGATAACCAGGTCGTTGTGAAGAGCTGGGGCGCGCCAAGCTGTTGTTTGTCTCTTGGCACCTTGGAGTGCTGGGGGGGGCGACAGGGGGGACGTGGCCTGAGTGACGTGTACGCCCACTCAGGATGTGTGGCAGCCACGCTGGCTGTGTGTCTTGTGAGCTTGTTTGTGTCTGTGGTGTCGCTCGTGCGTGTCGTCATCATCTGTCTTGCGTGCGTCCACCCATACCGCGTTGGTGTCCAGTCCGAGCCTGACTGTTCTTAACCTTCCTACATACATACATACCCAAGAGCCTAGGTAGGTGCGGATCGGCAAGAGCGCAATCGATCTTTTGGCCCTCTATCACCTTGGGTTGTAAGAACTTGAAACACACCACGCAGGGGCACAGCAAGCACGGATAGCCGACGACCGATCGGCCAAGCAAAGGCCTCCCTTGGATAAAGAATTTAAACAATTTTACAACCAAACTCCCTCGCACAACACTGGGCACGGGACTGGCGCGCACTCACACTAACTTGGATAAAGAATTCTAACTGATTCCCTCCGCGTGAGGATCGGCGCGGCGAGGGGGTAGGTTCGAATTCGCCGCGCAACATTTCACCCCCACAGGACCCCGCCCACCCCCCCTCATGGTCCCACCTAGTACCCCAATGAGCCTTCGCACCCCCTCCTTGCGCAGTGTCCCCCACTATGTGTCGCCGTTATCGGGGCATGCTATCCTGTGTAGTCAGGGCAAGTGGGGGCGAGGCGCACTCCCATCTCTCCTGTGTACGGATGGTGACTGTCCCTAGTCTCGGAGGGGGGCTTGAAGCTAAGAATATTTTATTTTAGAGACTGAGGGGGTTGGAGGTTATTTTGTCTGTCTGTCTGATAAAGAAAATCCGAGTCGCGCTGCGCGGGGCGATTTTGGGTACTTAAAATCCATGTGGCTGTGTGGTGGCGGCGTGCCGTCCTCCCATCCCTCCCTTGTGGGTTGTCTGTTTTCTTTCTTTCTTTTTATGGGCGACGCGGAAAAAAAAGGGTTCTTCCCGATCCCGATCATCCGGCCCGCTGGGTGTGCTTCTTAGCCCCCCGGCCCTGGATGTGAGGCTAATGACTGCACTCAAAGTGCTCCAAGTTCTTGTTGAGCACTTGAGCACTGGATAGGGTCGATTCCGCATGGTACGGGACCCCTCGATCGTCTCGCCCTCCCTCACTGGTGTGTTCCTGGGGGGGGGTCCTAACAAACACGGTACAGGATCGAGGTGCACGCTGCTGAGGGACCCCAGAGGGTAGATCGAGCAGTTTCGTCCCCCCTCTCCATCATCTCCCTGGGACTTTTTTTTCTTTTTTTGCGCGATTTTTACTTGTTTTCAAAGGAAGTCGCCGTACTTGCGGCCATGCTATCACGCCTTGCGACAGCCTGTCGGCGCTGCTGACCGTGCCCTGCTGCACAATTGACCACCTGCATAGCTCGCGGCCTTAGTATCCACCATTCCGTGACGACCTGATCGTACGGCCAGTAGGAATAGGGTCCTTCCAGCGCGTGCACGCTTCTGACGCAATGCGCGTCACAAACTGCCTCGGCGACTGGCTGCTGGCACTCTCGAGGCTATGCCTACACAGCCTCGCGCGCATGGGCAGTCAAGAGGGACCATGCACTTTCTCAGGACAGCGCCAGTGCCTCTCCCTTGGACCGGCAAACGTGGTGGTCTCGTGTCACCAATGTGGGACCAGTGCGGCATCGCGCCATCGACAGCTCTGAACTGCGCCTCACCACTGACCGGGAAGGCCGCCAAGTGGGCCAGCACAGGTCACACATTGTGGCAGCAGTCAGCAGTGCATGTCTGATAGCTAGAGCAGCAGCGTCAGGGTCGCAGGGTCGGATCGTGTCAAGCCTCTCGCCCGGCCGGCCGCGTGCAGACGTCGGCCTGTCTGCTGTCTGGAGTGATCTGTCGGCGGTCAGTACGACCGATCAGGTTGGAGGTTTCTCATGATTGGAGGGTCTATCTGTGTGTACTCCTCGAGATCTCTCCAAATCTGCCCTCTGATTAACCTAGCTGAATCGGGAAGTTGGTGCTAGCTGAGACTAGCGGAGCCGGGGCCCCGTTTCCGCACTGCGGCGCGGCGCACGGTGCCTCCGGGGGCCCCCGCCTCCCCCCAGAGTTGGTGTGACGTCTGAGCTTGGATCTGTGACTAAAGCCGCTTACCACTGATGGATCCCCACCCGAATAACACACAGTGAGCGCCCCAGCACTTCACTACGCCCTCCGCGCGAAATCGCTAGTGGTGCTTTGTGGCAGCACATTGTGCTTTGTGGCAGCACGGGTGCGGTGCCCGAGACCGCTCGCGCGAGGACGACTCTTCTGACGCCCACTGCGATCATTTGCCGCCAAGTCATATCGTTGCTCAGGTCCACTCTCTCTTCGAACACTTGTACCTCCACGGATGATGCTGGCGCTGGGGTCCCCTTGGTGCATCGCTTCTCTCTGGCCCGCGGAGTGGTCGTGGTGACAGATATATATGCCTCCGCGCAAGAGAGAGCGAGCGAGCGCGCGCACTCGCTCCAGCGCGAGGTCGGAGCAGAGCCAGGGCCGCGCCGCGGGCTCACGAAGCAAAGGCGGGCCTGGCAAGGCGTGTGCTGCGAGCGCTGCGAGCGCGAGTCTGTCCGCGACCGCGGCTCAGGAGGAGTCGGACGACGACGCCGCGGCCGCCACGGCCCGGCCGCAGGAGACCGGCACAGCGCTCTCGTGCGTGCTCAAGGTGTACTGCACCTCAGTGCGTCCAAACTTTGCGCAACCCTGGCAGATGAAGAGGCAGCAGGAATCCACCAGCTCCGGCTTCATCTTGCGCGATGAGCAAATCTTCCCGGCCAGGGGCATCATCATCCTCACGAACGCGCACAGCGTCGCGCACAGCGTCACCGTGCGCGTTCGCAAGCACGGCTCGCCAGTCAAGCACGTGGCCAAGGTGCTGCACATCGGCCACGAGTGCGACGTGGCCGTCCTGGTGGTGGAGGACCCGGCCTTTTACGACGACCTCCCGGAGCCGCTGCAGCTCGGGCACACGGCGCGGCTCCAAGACCCGGTCACGGTGGTCGGCTACCCCACCGGAGGGGACAACCTGAGCGTGACGGTCGGCGTCGTCTCTCGTGTCGACGTGCAGGCGTACTCGCACTCGAGCGAGCGCTTCCTCACGCTGCAGATCGACGCGGCGATCAACGCAGGCGTGCCCGTCCTCTCCCCCCGCCGCTCTTCCGAGATTCCCTCGAGGGGCGCGAGACGGCCCGAGATGGCCCGAGAGGTGGCGTGCCCTTCCTGTCCCGCGCGGACGGCGGCGCTCAGCCGGGCACGCCGCCGTCGCAGGCAACTCGGGCGGGCCCGCACTCAAGGCGGGGCGCTGCGTCGGCATCGCGTTTGAGACGCTGGACGACGCGGAGAACATCGGCTACCTGATCCCGGCCGCGGTGGTGGCCCGCTTCCTCGACGACCTCCGCTCGCACGGAGAGTACACGCGCTGGTGCTCGCTCGGCTTCTCGTGGCAGCCGGTGGAGAGCCCGGCGCTGCGCTCGCACCTCAAGCTGGGGGAGGGGCGGTCGGGCGTGTACGTCGGCGAGGTGTACCCCACCGGCGCTGCGAGCGGCGTGCTCCGCGAGGGAGACGTGGTGCTCCGCCTCGGAGGGCAGCCGATCGCCGACGACGGCACCGTCCCGTTCGAGCCAGCGGCCGAGGTTCGCGGCGGCGCCTCGTGCCGCTCGCAGCGCGTCTCGTTCGACGCGCTGCTGCTCCGCCACTTTGTGGGCGACTCGATCGCCGCGCACGTGCTGCGGGGCGGCGCCGAGCGGCAGGTGCGGCTGCCGCTCGGCTGCCACCACCCGCTGGTGCCGCTGCACCTGCACGAGGAGCGTCCCTCGTACGTCGTCTGCGGCGGCGCCGTCTTCACTGCGCTCTCGCAGCCCTACCTGCAGCACGAGTGGGGAAAGGCGTGGGAGCGGCGGGCGCCCGTCTCCCTCGTCGCCAAGGCGCTCAACGGCTCCAAAGCGCAGCGCGGCGAGCAGGCGGGTCACGCCCCCCTCCCCCTTCCCTGCTCTGGTGCTCGCCATCCGCGAGGGGCGCGACTCTCCAGCCGCTCCGCCTCGCCCGAAAGGTGGTCCTCCTCTCGCAGCTGCTCGGCCACGAGTGCGTGCGTGGCTACGACAGCGCGCTGCTCGCAAACTCGATGGTGCGGGCGCTCAACGGCGTCCCCATCCTCTGCCTCGCGCAGCTGGCGCAGCTCGTCCGCGCCTGCCGCCAGCGCTCGCTCCGCTTCGACCTCGAGGAGAGCCGCGTGCTCGTCCTCGACACTGCGCAGGCGCGCGGCGCGGAGGCGGAGATCCTGCAACAGCACAACATCCCCGAGCCGGTGCTGATCAACGAGAGGGACGCGGCGCTGTTACGGTGATTTTGGGTGGGGTTTGGTGATGAAGCGTAATTTGGCTAATTAGTAACAGTTGGCACCTAATGTGCGCAGAGCGCACCGCGGTAGAGTCTAGACTGATTTTCAGAAAGTCGCCTCGGGCACAAACGAACACTGGCGCTGGGAGTACAGGTGCTGGGGATCACAATGGTATGTATGTACGGGGTGTGGAGGGTGAGTTGAACAGGGGTTGTGCGCCAAGCGCAAGCCCTCCTGCTCGGCTCCAGCGAGTAGACAAGTGTTACCATCAACAGAGGAGAAGGATATGACCAGGGCTGATGTGACCAAGCGCTGGTAGCGTGGTTTTACCAGGGCCAGTGAGGGCGAGCCCATCGCTGTCACAGCTGTGGCAGCCGCACAGTAGGCTGTGTCAACTGTGCAGAGTGTGTGAGCAGCAGAGGAGCTGCTCTCCAGGCTTCTGTCGCAAAGAGCTGCATGCCACCGAAAGCGCTGTCGAGGTTCGCCGAGCGCGGCGCAGGTTGGGGGACACCGCCACCGACGAGCGCGTTGGACTTTTCACTCCGGACAAAAAACGCGGCACAGCGGACGGTGCGGGGCGTGCCGCAAACATAGCGGCGAGGCGCGGGACCGTCTGTGGCGAAGTGGGTCGCGTCCCCCGATTTTGTTGAACCCAGCATCCACACCCTTTACAAAGAGAGAGAGACTACAAAGAGAGAGGATTTACCGGACAACATTACGCAAAAGCATGCGCGACTTGCACTCTTTCGTGCCACTCGCTCGCGGGTGCGCGGGGCATGGCCTCCCGCGCGGCTCGCGCTCACTCGGCCTGCCTCCGCCTCACGGCTGGCTGAACACGCCATGGGTCCGCCTGGTGCAGCGCTGCTCGCTCGCTGCGCTGCAGAAAGCTGCGAGAAGCAGGGTGGCCTCCTGAGCTTGAGCATGGCGCAGCGCGGCTGCTGGTGCTCGAGGGCGGCCGTGCAGTGGCGTGAGGGCCTGATTGGTGGTGACCTCGTGCTGCTTCAGCGTGCGCAGCATGCTCCCTCACCCGGTGCTGAGACATGCTGGTGGGCGACTGGCGCCAGCTTCTCAGTGCTATCCCTGGCGTTGTGCAGCATGTCGCAATACTCCTGCTGCGCTGACCGGCGCGCGGCGCGCGTCGTGCCGCGAGTGGAGCGAGAGGCTCGAGGCGCGCGGCTGTCGGTCAACCCTGCGGCGCATGCGCGCCGCCAAGGCTGCTCGACAGGCGACTGGCATTGTGGCGACGCGGTCGCCGTTACTCCAACTTTGCTTTGCCGATCAAAAGCGCCCGTCCTTTGCTTTTTAGCCGCCGAAATTTAGCTGGGTGTTTTTTCTTTATAGGCGTCTGCAACTTCCAAGCTGCGTATTCTTTCTTGTATTATCGTCGAGTAGTGCAGGTACTCCGTGGGGGCAGTATGTATTCTTGTAAGATGTGCGTATTCTCGTCTCACTGGCTCCGAGTAGAAAAAGAAAGAAAACATGTTACTCGTAGTGTCCGTGTCCACTAGCTCGAGGTGCTCTGGCGGGTGCACCAGTTCGCGTCGGAGCAGCCGAAGAGCTTGGGGTCGGCGACGCGCTCGTAGTGGAGGCCGAGGTCCTGCGTGCCGATGAGGTAGATGAGGCAGCGCTCGGCGGCGGCCTCGATGTTCGCGTCGGGCCAAGCCATGCAGCGCGCCAGCTGCGAGACGGTGTACTGGATGTCGGGGCGCGCGTTGGTGGCGAACATGAGGCTGCCGATGAGGCACTGGCAGCGCTGGAGGAGCTGCGGGTCGGGCGCGGTCTTCTTCTCGGCTGCGCTGATGACGATGGACGGGAGGTCCTTGTCCGCGGGCACCTTGTAGCCCGCGTGCGTGACGCCTGACGGGAAGAAGCGCGCGCGCAGCGTGTCGATGTACTTGCTGGCAGACAGCTTGAAACCGGTCTGCGTCTTGGTGATGTTGAGCCCGAGGAACTCGTGCACCTTTCCCTCGTGGACCTTGAGCGGCTTGCCGACGTGCTTGTTGAAGTGCTCGATGTACTCGTGCGCGAGCGCCCTGCCAGCGGTGGTCCCGGAGTGGAAGATGCCGAAGTCGTCCACGTAGATGACGACGATGAGTTTCGTGCTGTTGCGGGTGAGGACGAAGCAGCTCGGGTCCGCCTCGGACTGAACGAGCCCAGGAAACGCCTTGTTGATGGACTTGACGTGGTTCCACCAAGCGTTACCTGCGGATGGTGCGCCGTAGAGGTTGCCGACCTCGCACACCATGTCCTTCTCCTCGCCGGTGATGGGGTCGATGTAGCAGTACTCGGGCTTGCCCTTGAGCCCCTTCGGCATCTCGCAGTACCAGGTCTCGCCCTCCCCGCGCTCCGCCCAGGTGTACGCCATGGGCTGGTCGCACGTGATGAGTTCCATGTCCTCCTGCGCGGCCACGTTGAGCACGGTGCGGGTCGTGCCGTAGCGGACGACGCTCGCGAAGGTCTTGGTGAAGTCGACGCCGGGCCGCATCAGGTTGCCCATGACACAGCCGCGCCACTTGCACCGGCCGTCGGACTTCCGGGAGGCGATCTCCTTCAGCGGGAGGACGCGCACCTTGGCGGGGCGGCGCATGGGCTTGAGCGTGCCGTTCTGGATGAGGCCGAGGAACTCGGTGTCATACGCCTTGTACCACGCGTCGCGCAGCTTGGGGTCGCGGATGTTGGCGATGTCCTTGTAGTGCTTGGGCACGATGTTGTCCGGCATGGGCATGATCTGGCCGTCCACGCTCGACATGTACGCGACGCACTGGTCCGTGGTGTTGCGGTAGACCGACGACGATGGGGATGCGGCCGCCGCAGCCGCCCAGATGCCGAAGGGCGTGGCATTGGCGGCGAGGCGGGCGTTGAGCATGTTGTTGTACTCGCCCGTCGAGACGCCGCCGCGGCTGCGGGTGGTGCGCGGCGCAGGCGCACCCGCTGCGGGCGGGTTGACGTTGCCGTCGTTGGCCGGGTCTGGCATGATCACCACCTCCTCGTCGAGGGTCAGCCCCCCGGCGTGGTTGTCGGTGGTGGGGAGGAAGACGGAGTCGCCGCGGGTCACGTTGTTGTCGAGCGTAGCCTTGTCCGACTCGTCGGGCGTCTCGTCCGCGGTCACAGGCTCCGGCCACGCGCCCTCGATGTCCGTCGGGGTGAGGTCGGAGGTAGGAGCACGGTACTCGATGCCGTTCCAGAGCTCGTTGACGCAGAATGTCGCCTGCGTGGTGGTGCCGATGTGCCCCTTGCGCGGACCCTCGGTGATGACGTACTTCCAGCCGGGCGAAGTGCGCGAGATGCCGAGGAAGGCCGCCATCTCGCCCGTGGGTGAGACACCGTTCGCCACAAGGTGGGAGGGCGACTTGACGATCATCTTGCACGCCCACGGGTAGAACATGTTCATCTTGGGGCGCTGCCCGGTCTTGAGCTCGTACGCTGACTTGCCGGTGTCGCGCACGGCGAAGGTGGCGTTGGCGATGGTGGCCGCGTACACCCAGGCGTAGCCCCAGTACTGGTAGAGCTGGGCGGCGCCATGCCCCCCTGCGCGTGCCATCATCTCCCGCACGATTCTGCCGCAGGTAGCGTTCGCACGCTCGCACGCCCCATTCTGCCACGGCTCGTAGGGGCAGCTGTTGCGGAGGGTGATGCCGTACTTGAGGCAGAGCTCGCGCACGGCGCTGGAGTTGAGGACGACCTCGTTGTCGCAGAACGCAACTCCTCCGCGGAACGTGTGGCCGTCCTTTCCCTCGTTCTCGGCGAAGTACTTGCGCAGGTAGGCAGGCGTCTGGCCCTTGGTCTGCAGGATGTACGGCGTGATGGTGCTGGTGTGCTCGTCGACGACCATGAGTGCGTAGCGGTGCCCATCGACGCCTACCACACCCGCGCACCACCCGCAGCCGCGGCGGGTTGACGTTGCCGTCGTTGGCCGGGTCTGGCATGATCACCACCTCCTCGTCGAGGGTCAGCCCCCCGGCGTGGTTGTCGGTGGTGGGGAGGAAGACGGAGTCGCCGCGGGTCACGTTGTTGTCGAGCGTAGCCTTGTCCGACTCGTCGGGCGTCTCGTCCGCGGTCACAGGCTCCGGCCACGCGCCCTCGATGTCCGTCGGGGTGAGGTCGGAGGTAGGAGCACGGTACTCGATGCCGTTCCAGAGCTCGTTGACGCAGAATGTCGCCTGCGTGGTGGTGCCGATGTGCCCCTTGCGCGGACCCTCGGTGATGACGTACTTCCAGCCGGGCGAAGTGCGCGAGATGCCGAGGAAGGCCGCCATCTCGCCCGTGGGTGAGACACCGTTCGCCACAAGGTGGGAGGGCGACTTGACGATCATCTTGCACGCCCACGGGTAGAACATGTTCATCTTGGGGCGCTGCCCGGTCTTGAGCTCGTACGCTGACTTGCCGGTGTCGCGCACGGCGAAGGTGGCGTTGGCGATGGTGGCCGCGTACACCCAGGCGTAGCCCCAGTACTGGTAGAGCTGGGCGGCGCCATGCCCCCCTGCGCGTGCCATCATCTCCCGCACGATCCTGCCGCAGGTAGCGTTCGCACGCTCGCACGCCCCATTCTGCCACGGCTCGTAGGGGCAGCTGTTGCGGAGGGTGATGCCGTACTTGAGGCAGAGCTCGCGCACGGCGCTGGAGTTGAGGACGACCTCGTTGTCGCAGAACGCAACTCCTCCGCGGAACGTGTGGCCGTCCTTTCCCTCGTTCTCGGCGAAGTACTTGCGCAGGTAGGCAGGCGTCTGGCCCTTGGTCTGCAGGATGTACGGCGTGATGGTGCTGGTGTGCTCGTCGACGACCATGAGTGCGTAGCGGTGCCCATCGACGCCTACCACACCCTTGGGCGACCAGAGGTCGTAGTGCGACGAGCCCCCGAAGCGAGTGGCCAGTGGCCGGCCGGTGCTGCGCCGCGCGTGGTACTTGGCGTTCGCCTGCAGCGCGGCGTCGTCGAGGCCCTCGTTGCGGTCCATCTTGGAGAGGTCCGGCACGCCGTCCGCGATCTTGCTGAGGTCCTTTAGCGCGTC